AGTCGAAAAAATTCCATTTACCACTGCAAAGAAAATGTTTTTCTGTAAACATTTCCTAAGCATGGATATGTGAACACAGCTGCCAGAAGAAAGACGTGTCATCATTTCAGTAAATCAGCCTGAAGTGATTCCAGTTTTATTTTTCTGCTCTCACACAGGACTTAAGAAGGAATGAGGACGTAGGTAGAAAAGGTTAAATAAGAAAATCTGTAGCAATACAGCTAGAATACAGAGTCAAGACCTGTGTTTGTGTAATGTTAGAGAGGCTGGAGTGCTGCTGTACTGATTTATATTCTCACAAGCTCTAGTTCACTGTGCCAAGCCATATAGTTGTTTTTCTGGGACTTCTGTCCTTTTTGGGGAGTGGAAGCTGAAACAATTACATCTGGTCCTAGTGCTGGTGGTGTCAGCTCAAGAAAGGGTAGCATAAGTTTTTGGGTTTGGGTCAGGCCCATGCAATGGGAAGAATGTAAGATGCCATCGTTTGTACAGCTCTCCGGAAGTCTAAAAAAACATGCATGTGTTTGGCTCTGTGGCTTTTTTTCCTATTTGTTTTGGTGATAACAAGACTATTAGACCTCCAAAAAGATGGCATGATGGCAAGATACATTAAAAAGTTGACTTAATTGCCCACTGCCAACTATACTGGTGACATATCACTACTACGCTGCCTTTCGTTCGTCTTCTGCTGGACAGTCTAAATGCCAAGGACTCTGAGGAAAAGGAGGCAGGACAATGTGGTGTTTGTTTCCACAGTATTTCCATATATTTCCTCAATGCAGTATTTATTGAATGAATACAGTACGAGCTTCAGGAATTCTGTGAGAGAAATGATTTTGTGAATGACAAGGAAGGTTATTTTTCCTTGAAGGATCATGTGACCTCTGTGGGGTCTTTTTTTGGTTGGTTGTTTTTTAACTTTCCTCAAGATTAGTCTGGAATGGTCCACTGAATTTTTCCTGCCTCCTCCTGCAGCTAGGGCATGGCTCCCAGCTGGGAGTTTTCTTTAACTAATCCCTTGCAGTAGCAGGGACACGTGCTCTTGCCTGGTCTTTCCCCTCCATGGCCCACTGCAGTCATGCTGGTTAGTCTGCTGCTGCAGAGAGCAGATGTGATGAGTCAGGAGGAAGCATTTAGTGGTCTGTGACACATGGTGTAGGTGGCGGAGCTGTTCTGGGCATCTTTCTAAACCTACTTCTACTGCCTGGAGTTAGTTACCTGTAATCGTTGAGTGCTGTATTTAATAACTGAAGGGATCCCTTGCAGGGATGTACCGAAAGAGGGTGACAACTGCTGTATTTTTTGGGGACAGTGGACTCGGCTGATGACATGTGTAAATCACATGGAAGCATTACACACTGCACGTGGGTAAAAGTGTCCAGCTGCATGATAGCAGAGCTTCCCGCAGAGCAGTGCCACGTGCTAGCTCTTGGACCATGGTTAACTCTAAACTTGAGATTGCTGTACAATTAAATATAACTTTAATTCATCAAGTGGACAGAAAAATGTGGTGAATCTCAGCAATTCAGCTTTAGCATAAAGGAAATATTTTGTCTACAGCTCTTGCTTGAGCATATCCTAAGCCATCCCAGGGTGTAGCTGAGCAGAACTCCAGGGGATTTATTGCAGCTTGGTAGTCTCTGAGAACATGGGAAAATCTTGCACGGCAGGGAAATTCACTGCAATGCCAAAGAGTTTCGGATCTGCCCAGGCTGCTCAGCTCCTAACAAAATAATTACGTAGTGCCATGAATTGGAAGATTACCTCATGCCCCAGAGCCTCTTTTATGATTTTCACTGGCTGGGAATGAGACAGCGCTCTGGGCTTTATCAAGGCAGCCAGGGATGCTGTAGCTCCCTAACACCACTTCAGAAGGTAAATGCTTTCTGAGTTGCACAAAGGAGAAGTGACTGTGATTTAAATCACTCTCCTCCCCAACTGCTTCCCCCTCTGCATCATGGCTGTAATCTGGTTTAGACCTACTGTTAGGTCTTCCAGTCCTGGGAACATGGAAGAAACCTAGGATTTCTGCTTTAAGATTTCTGACTTTTGCATGCTAGTTTTTCTAGCATGGCCATCTTGTCTAGACCATGCTTTTGCTTTTGCCAAGAAAGGTTGGACCAGATGATCCCTGAGGCCCCTTCCAACCTGGTATTCTATGGTTCTGTGATTCTCAAAATAGGTGGAGGCAAGCAGGCACCACCTTGATGAGAAAGCTGCAAAGTACCTGCCCAGTAATGTGAAAGGGTGCTTTGAGAGCTGTTATACGCTGCACAGGGCAATGTGTAGCAGTCCCCTCCAGCACTCTGCCCTTGTGGTGCTGTGTACTAGTGTGTTTGCATTGACGTGGGTAAAGATGGAAATAGAAACCCTGTGGTGTGGGCTATGGTTTGAATATCAGATTTGTGCTTGGTGTCTCCCAGCGTACTGAAGTCACTGCTATAGTCGTTGCTATAATTAGCTGTGTTGGATAGATTAAAACTAGTGTGGCAATACTTACCATGTGCATATCCACTCAGATGTGTGTGGTAAATAAAACTGAGTTTCTGTTCCTTGTTAATAACTGATTATCAGCAGTGACAAAAGTATTTTTTTCTGGTGACATAGTGTGTCACATCCCGCTCTCACATAGTCTCATGGGTTGTGGTTGTATAAAACCCAGCTTTAGCACAGCCTTATTTCACAGAGGGATGGGAACTAGAGAAGGGTTAGGGTTTTAGTATAAAATTTCAGTAGATAGCTTTATACCATCTTTGTTGTGCTAGTTACCCTACATCCAGCCTCCTTTATCAGTGAAATATCATAATCCCTTAAAAAAAGAATTCTTCCTATTAACAGTAACTGTCTCTCCTGCGTTAGGAAGACAGGTTTCCTTTAGCTAAAATGATGTCTGTTTTAGTGCGATTGTTTGGGCATGGAGTTGTTTGGGTAGATGTTGGAAATAAATACATCAGTGAGTGGAGAGGGGTTTACATTGCCTGTGAGCTGGGTACTCTGCAGGACCGTGTAATTCCTCTCCTGTAGCTGGCAGTTGTCCTGTGTAGCTCTGTGTGCCAAGCAAGCTTGGCCAAGTGTGGGGCTCCCTGCTACCATGCAGTGGGGCAGGGTGCCCTCTCTGCTGGCTACCGAGAAAAGAAGTGTGTATTTTGCCTGAGACTCCTGTCTGGAAAACCTCAAAGGCCAGTGGGGTTGCTGAGAATCAACAACTGCGTGCATGGGCTGCTCTTTGAGTGGAGAGAGGGATGATTGGAAAAAAATTGTGGTTTTAACGGTAGCATAAACATGTTGTGGAAAGAAGTGTGTTGCTTAGGGGCCGATGCCACCCATCCCCATTGAGCTTTTGAATACCAGAATGAAGTACTGGAGTGTACTACCCACAAACTTAATTTGTGGCATGTGAGTCATTTGGTTTAACCGAGGTTATAATTTGAATAGATGGTACATACTGGACAGGATTTTTCCTTTAGAGCTCTGACAGCAGCCAGGACAACCTGTGTTGAGTCCATCAAGACTTCCTTTTGTTTGCCACTGTAAAAAGAAAGAATTCTTTGACTATAAAAATTAAAATTTATTGGAGTTCAAAGACCAAGTGATTGCTTCATCTTGGAATGCTTTTATGTCCAGGATCCAGAAGGACATCAATTAAATTCTTTTTTTTTTTTCTTACTCCATGAAACAAATGAGTAAAAGATAGGTATAAACCCATTGCTTTTTAGAACATATAAAAAGGTCTAACTGAATGGAATCAGCAAAAGAAAGTATGAGTTGATATGAGTCAGCAGTGTGCCCTGGCAGCCAAGAGGGCAAACCACATCCTGGGGTGCATCACACACAGCAAAACCAGCCAGTCAAGAGAAGTAATTATCCCAGTGTATTCAGCCTTGGTGCAACCTCACCTTGAGTGCTGTGTGCAGTTCTGGGCCCCACAATTTAAGAAGGATGTGAAGGTCCTTGAATGCATCCAGAGGAGGGCAACAAAGCTGGTGACAGGGTTGGAAGGAGTGTCCTATGAAGAGCAGCTAAGGACTCTGGACTTGCCTAGTTTGGAGTAAAAGACTACAAAAAGTAGCCACCTTCTAAACTACAGAGGAGATTAGTGCAAAATATCCTGTGTTTCTCTTAAGTGAAGGAGTTGCAGAATCAACCTCTTTGCAGACTCAGAGGGATGCTTTGTTCTTGGTGCAGCGCTACCTGAGAGGGGAGTCATTCTCAAGGACAGCAGTGTCAGACTGTTCAGGTAGCTCCCAACTGGGACACTGTTGGCACCCCTCAGACCATTATTTAAGTGAAGCACTGCATTTCAGTTTTTCTGGGCTGTTCTGCTCTGACTGGTTCTTTTTGAAGATTTGGGATGGTAGTGATTGTTAGGGAGTTGCTGAATCTAGTAGCCTGATGGTGGGGAGATCCTGTCTCAGACTGGGGTATTGGGTTTTGCTGCTGCTGGTGTGCTTCTGGGCTTGTGGTCATGGGTGTGTGATGGTCTGAGTGCTCCCCTGGAATAAGGCTCTGTCTTAGTGGAGTTTCTTTACCTGTCATGCTTCTTTTGTGCTCCTGCACGTGTCTGTGGAGATGAGCTGCTTATCCCATAGCCTAATGGTGTCTGACAGTGGCCTTGACAGGACTTGGGAGGAATAAATGCAGCGAGTGAGATGTTGAATGAAGTATAAACATGGTATATCAATACTGACTAATGCAGCAGTTGCTTCAGGCTGTATAGTTTTTAGTTTCATGTCCAGACAATGTTTGACAGCAGTCAGCTGACCCATAAGTTTGTGCATGCTGGCCAGCTGGTGGGAGCCACTGCATGTGTGTTAGCTGGATGGTCCATGTGCCCTGAGCTCCAGAGTTGCCGCATCAAGGGAATTTGATTGTCTGATGGGTATTACAGGCAGTGGGGGAGGAGCACTGAGCACTGCTCTTCTAATTAACCTTGATAATGTTGATGTTTTGATAAGTTTTTATAAGGTTTCTGACAGTGGTATTTCTTCTTTTTTATTCAGATTCCTTTGGGACTCTTGTTCTTCCAGTAGTAAGTATTTCTTTACTGCTTCCTTAGAAAATGTTGACTCTAACTTTTCATCAGTTAGTGTTGATGAGATGTTGTATTTTGTATGTGATCCTAGCTATTTTCACATTCTCAGATGAGTGTATTTACTGACCAATAAGCCAAGGAGTTTTCAGATCAAGTGTTCTGCAGCCTGTTACAAGTAATTATGTGATTTGGGAGCTGATTTTCAGCATCAGCACAAGCTATCATAAAACTTGAACACAGAACTTTCCTTTGTGGTTTCTTTGACTAGCTGATACCCACATCTCTATTTCAGACACAGCGTGAGGGCTAATTAGAGCTGAAAGAATTGTGCAAAGCAATAGCTGAGAAATCTTTACATAAAAATGTGTTTATACATAGTCTTCTTTAAGGATTTGGAAATGCACGTTAGGTGAAAGTACATAACAGCTAACTATACATAAAAATGTATAATATCAAATCGTGGGTCAAGTATGAATCCTGAATTTATAATCCTGGATGTTCATCTTGAAACCCAGTCTAAAGAACTATGTATTTTTGTCAGGAAAACAGTTTTACCAAAGTCTTTATTTTTTTAAACATCTGTAAGTGTATCTCTAAATCCAGTGGGTTTAAATTGTGATCTCAAATAAACTGTATATCTGATGAAATAATCTGGAAATGTTTGATAGATAGATAATCAACAACAATGAGCAGCACAGCATGATGAAGACTATTAGGTTGAAATGCATCTGTACAAACGGTAAATTAGCAAACATAGAAAATTCAGTTTAAAACCCCGAAAAGATTAAATTAACAAGTTCCTTAATATAATCTGGCCAGGTTTTCAAGTATTCAAGCAACTAGGCAAGGTGAATTCTTGCCTTTGTTGCCACTATCTGAAGTGATGAAAACTGACTCATTTTTTTAATAGTAGGATGTTTTTTTCATTTGTGTAGCCACGGTAGGCTTATATTTTGCCTAAAGTGTAGTTGGCTGGTAGCAGAAGGTGGGTAATGAGTTTCTGGTTTCAGCCGTCATCTTTTCCAGAGGAAACAGTAGCTTCCTTGTCTGAGGTGCTCGTGACGGTGGCTGGTGTGGTCAGGAGAAATACGTGAGGTGGCCTTTTTCTCTCTTACATTAGGAGTGCCAAAATGGGGATAGTAATACCATTCACTTGGGGGATGTGTTGACTAACTTAAAATATTTTCACAGCAAGTTCCTACTACCTACTGTTAAAAGTTGCCTTGCTCATATTTGGGTCGACAAACTACCTTTTAGTGAAGGAATTGGTGGGGTTGAGGTAAATAGTTACCGTTATTGTAGCAGTGACCTTCTGGAAGTGTTGTAGTAGCACGGTCTCTGTTAGCATAGTTGTGTGAACCAGAAGGTGGGTTACTTTGCACCTCAGCTGTCCTAATACACTGCCGTGGCAATGCAAACTTAATTGCCGCTGGCTTTTACATCAAGAAAGGTACAACAGAGTTTTGTCACCATGTTGCAGGAAGTTCTTCGAAATATAAAAAGTATAAAAGTCAAGGGAGCAACCTGTGCTATCTGTTGTTATTCATGATAGGAAAAAGCTACAGGAAAATATATGATGTCTCTAAATGGCATTTACAGTCTTTTAAAGAAGAAATTAAAGACAATCCTTTCAAGTATATTAAAATAGTGCTGTAAGAGCACAGTTCACTGCTATGATGAGATAAAACAAGCTCATTTTTCCCCTCATTTTGATTTTGAATGTTTGTAATATTTCCTGGGCTTCTTGTAGGAAATCCAGTCTCCTTTTCAGGGAATACACCTTTAATAGATGGTAATATTAATAAATGAATTAATTTTGAGGTAATACTTGACCGATACAGTAGCTAAGGCTGTTGCTCCTATTTAATATATTCCAGAATACTGGGTGTGGAGGTTGGAGAGTGTTGAAATATATGAATCATATGTTCTTGGCAATGTGTATACAAAAACCTGCAGTTGAAGAAAATGCAGGATGTATTTCAATGTGGAGCTTTGCACCTAAAATTTAGTTATATAAGTCCAGATTTTAAATGGGGAATCTCTTCTTCCTGTGTCATCATATGCCTGCTCCTGAGTCTGAAAGAGAGCCTGTTTATTTTTCCCCTTCCTGATTTTTTTTTTTTCCCCCTGGCTTGTTTTTAAAAACAGAAGTTCAGCAGAGAGAGATGAAGTGGTAGTTGATTCCTCTTTATAGATAAACACACAGAGAAGGAAATGTATTCAATACAGACATGTTCACCTACCTCATTTGTTACCCTGTGACATTTTTCCTTTTTTGGGAATTTCCGTTATCTCGCTGGGTGCTCTTAAAATGAGTTTTGACAGTATGACAGCCTTTCATTATAGAGCTTGGTAGGATACTTTTGAAGTGCTGTGCCTGGTGAGTTAACAGCTGTAATTTTCATTACCAGTGCAAGAGTGCTTCATTTCCATGTGTTATGCTGAAAAATGCAAGCCTGTCTGTTTTAGTTGTCTTGAATTCAGAGGTTTTTACTCCAGATTTACTGTTGTAACTGCAAACAGAAGCATGTGACTTTTAAGCTTTTTAGCAGGGCTGCGTGTTGGAATGAGCTGTGTGTTGCGTTATAACCCTATTCCTTCTTCAAAAAGACACTCCTAAGCAGATGGAGGTACAGAAGCCAGCATCTGGGCTGGGATGTCCCTGGGGTCATTCGTTGTCTGTGTAGGCTCTGCTTGAGGTGAAATTCCCATGTGTTGCAGCAGCTCTGCTTTGAGCCTTTCAACTCCTGTGGCTGGGATTTTTCCTACCAAAGTTTAGGGAACGAACCGATGCATCTGAGTTATGAGCTCTAGATTTCCTCTGTCCTCTGGAGAGTCAGAGACCTGTGAGGTCTAGATTTCTTTGCCAGTGATACCTGTTTGTGTTTATTGCCAGCACTGAAGGAACCTTCAGTGTTTATCCTAAATAAGTTAACCATATAAAATGTCTCTTCCTTTATTCCTTAATATTTTGGGAAGAATCATTATTTTACTTTCTAGATGAGTCACATTATGTGCTGTACTTACGAATCATTAAACTGAAATAAGACACAATCAGTGAGGTTTCTTTTGAAAGACAGTAACTCACCCTCATGAAATCTTCATTCTGAATTTGATCTGTGTACCACATAGGACACGAAGCTAAAGCTTTTAAAATAAGTGCAAGGTTCTTTTTATTGTTCTGTTCATCTTGTCTGCATATAGCTTCTTTAGTTCTTTTGTTTTAGGAAAATTCATTACTGAAAAACGATGAGATCAGAAAAAAATTAGCTCCCAAAATCAAACACAAGAAATTTCTAAATAACTATGAAAAGAGAGGGCACAACGTGTTTGTGTCTGTAAGTCTATGAATGGTATATGAATACGTTGATACATTGTTGAAAACCTGATTACTACTGATAATTAGATGGAGGTATGTTGAAAAGATGCTTCTGCCAACACATTTTCAGGTAATTGTTGAAATGACCCTTAAAGCTCTGAAATCATCTTTCTCTTTTTGAGGATTTACATAAGTTGACAAGTTCAGGAATATGTCAGGTCTTTGTGTCAAATTTTTTTTGAATAATAAAATCTTTAAGAATATTTTGGATATTATTTGGATATCACTATTTTCTTTTTAGCTGCCTTTGAACAGTGCTTCTGGGAATTATGAATTACTGGTGGAAGGCCATGCTGATGGCCGGCGCATCTTCTCTAACCGTACCAGCTTGATGTACATGTCAAAGAGCATCTCTGTATTCATCCAGACTGATAAATCTATGTATAAACCGGGACAAGATGTGATGTTTCGGATTGTCACTGTCTATCCTGATCTCAAACCTTACAAAGCGTCTCTGAATATATATATCCGAGTAAGTATCCACAGGAACCTAGTTATACATTGAAATTTGTCATACATTCCAAATTTGTGACAAGTAAAGGTCATATATATTGCTACCTAAATATTGGTGTATTGCTAGCAAGATCACTTGCATTTAACATGCAGCCTGACTTTTCTCCTAGGACCCTCGGAAGAAACTGATTCAGCAGTGGTTGATGGAGGAGGGCGATTTGGGCGTAGTTTCCAAAAAATTTCAGTTATCAATGAACCCTCCACTAGGAGACTGGTCCATAGAGGTGGAAGTGAATGTGAGTATTAATATTGCTAAATCACAGGGAGATTTTATTTCTTCTGATAGATATGAATAAAGTTATGTTTACTTTGGTGAAGAAAAACTAGAAATAAGCATGGATGATGAGATGAAGAAATCCTTCCCTGATGGCAAACCTAAGATATTATACAAACTTCACAAGATTTTCAGTAGTTTATGGTTTTGTAAGGAAAGATAGAAAAAAAAATTTATTTTTCTAAGGTCTGTGTTTTGATTCTAAAATAACAATGTTATTTAAAAAGTGAGGGTTTTAATATTAGTATAAAAGAAAGATCTTATACAGATTTTTTTTTTAAGTGAAATGCATTTATGTTTATTTTATGAGTATACAGAAATTTTTTGTGCCCTGCCGTGCAGACAGTCATGGTGTCAAGGGGTGTGAAATCAAAGACTCTTTACAAATCTCTTCCTAGTTTTAGGGGTGCTTCAGCTATTCACAGTAACTGAGGAGTTACTGGGGAAGAAATAACTATGCAAAATAGGTTCAATAGCCAAGCAGAACTGTTGCATAACAAAACTGGTATGATCTAGTTTGCATGTTGCTATCGATAATAGTTCTATCAGTGCAGTCCTTCAAGCTGTACACTACTCATACACCGTAGAATATGTTGCACAAATAGCTGGAGGTTTAGCTGTTCAAAACTTTGTGTGTCAGATTTATTCAGCCTGCTTTAAATGCCTGTAATTTGGGAACTGCATTTCTGATTTGGCTTGCAGTGGCTGTTCAGAGACATTTAGCAAGTACAAACAGGACTGCTTAATGTTCCCTAATGAGGGAGATGATGGGGTAGAAAGCAGAAAAACTCATGTGATCCTGTATTACTTGGGAGGGATATTTACCAGTATGAGTTATATGCTTGATAAATTTCTATAGACTGAGGTAGGTGAGGGTGATGCTCTAGTGAGTGTCAGGACTGGATTTTTTGAACACATTCTCATGTGGGTGTGGACTTGTAACTATTGTCTTTGATGGGAAAAATGTTTTATGTTGTTCCTTGTCTCTGCGCTCAGCTGCTCCTTCCCATCTCTGCACTGCTGTTCAGTAGCTTTTCAGTCACGCTGAGGCAGCTGTAGTAAAGGCTGAGATCTATAATAAAGCACGCCGGGTAAGTGACCCAGATTGAAAAACATCTCTGTGTTCTTCTTTGCCTAACCCAGACCAGTTCACTGATCTGGTTGACAGCACAGCCCCACTCACAGCTGCATAGGTGCTTTTCAGGAAGTGGGGAAGTGAGGCTCAGACATGGGAACAAAGGCTGATGACAGTGGTGGGTTCCTTCAACAGCTCACTTGCCAGGCAGAAAAGTATTTGTGAAATTTTGCTTGGACTTTCTGCAAAGTCTTGAGTAATTCTGAAGTCAGGAGGACCCTGCTGAATGAACTGCAGCAGCTGTTTTCAGGATCTGAATGAGTGCCACTCCCTTCTGAAACAAAACCAAGAAAAGGAAAAAAATAATTTTAAAATTGAAAGAAAAATGCCTTATAGTTTCATCTGGGCTAATGAAACAGCTGTGAGAAAACAGACAAGTGATGTGAAATCTTAGTAGACTGTAGTTGATGGTATTCTAAATTTTAGCCACTCAGTACTACTACAGAAGTTTAATGAGCCTGGAAAACATATGACAGGGTGGGTATGTCTCTCAACTAATGAGTAACAAGGAGAAAGTAAACAGGGAACATTTTGTTCACTGTCTCTTCTAATACATAGCTATAAGTCAGAGGTAAAGAGCAATTTCAAAATAATTAAAACAGAATAACTGAATTGTAGAGAAAGCACTGGCAGGTATTGTGAATACTGAAAACTTAGGTGGGATCAAAAAATGTCTGGACAAATTCACAGAGGTATACTCCATTAAAAATTGTTACCTAGAAAGCCCTGAGGCTTGAGCTGAGACAGCATCACTGCTGACTGCCCTGACTGATGGAGTTTTCTAGGTGTTGAACTGTTGCTGCTGAAGACTGGACACTGGCCTTCATGTTAGATCTACCAGGGTACAACCTTTCCTAGGTTGTCTTTATCATATTTACATCACATTTTTCCTGCTATTAATTTTGTAAAATTTAGGGTTTTAGCATAGAGTGTTTGGGGTTCTTAATAGAGCTCTAAATGCTTCAGTGGCATGAAGAATATCCAGAGGCAGGGATAATGCTCATCACTCTAGAATATCTTTCTTTGTTCACTGTTACAGGAGACAAATCAAGGTAGAAAGTACTGCAGTATGCTTTTGGTACATTTAGCAAAGTGCCCTTTTGGGAAGCATTTGGACAGAAGTGGAATTATTAATTGAAAGAGGAAACAGTATTTAAGAAACACTGCATTTAATAAGTGGAAAAAAGAGGAACTAGGAGATAGATATCAATATAAAGTCTGAACTCTTTCATATTTGTAGGAAATGTAAAGATCCCAAGTAAAACTTGGCGGTTAATAAAAGTATGAAAGAATTTTTAAGGTTTGCTAGAAACTTAAGACAGACCAGTGGTGGCAGAGCCCAGTAACATGAGGAATTATGTGGCAGAGATGGAAATGTTTACTAGGGATGATGGCTCTAGGTGGTTAAGGAATCTCAGTGTGGGGAGATTTCAGAAGGCCATCAGAAGATGAATGTCCTTAACAGAAAATAGTAAGTGAGGTAACAAGGGAGACTATAGACATGTCATCTGGCATGAGAAAAACAATGACAAAGGTGATCTGGGATTCCACTGATCATTAGATTCTTTAAGACTATTACAGATTTGGTTAAGAAGGTAGATTTACTGATGCAACAGATTTTTGTAAAGGCTTGTCATTGTAGAAAATCCCGATGAAAAACAGAAATGTACGTAAAGTCTGTCAAAGAAAGGTGGATTGATTTTTATGCAATCGACACTCACCCAGGGTGTTTCTAATATAAACTGATGACAGAGTTTGTGGATGAAGCTGGGGAAGAAAGCTCCACAGTGGACGACTGCAGAAGTCCCATCTGTTACTGTTTAAATTGGATCAGATGAACCAATTAATCTATTGATTACAGTCTGTGAGTGCTGTTACAGGTTTTAAAAGGTTTTTCAATCTAGTGGAGAAAGGCATAGTATGAACCAGCTAATAGAAAATGAAGCCAGGCAAATTTTCTTTGGCATATCATCTTTTATCAGTGAGGCTCTTGATCACTTGAACAAATAAAAAAATGGGAGTGGGGATTTCACTATTACTTCATGTTTTAGCATCAGGAATGGTTGCCTTTTTGGAAGATGCATTATAATAACGCAGATTTCTGCAGCACCTGAATACTAGAATAATCAAACTTGAGGTAAAACGAGGTCAGACTGAATGGTTCCTTCTGACATTAAACTAGTTGCATTGAAAATTAAAATAGAGGAGAATAAAACCAGTATATTTTATATAAAAAAATTGCAGGCTTTGGGGTCCAGAAAAATCTGGCTATTCTTACAGTGCTTATCCTCTGGGAATAAAATAGCAACCCCAAGCCCCACACATAGAAACTTACGTTGTTTACTTTCAGACTTCTTTTCCTCTATTGTTCACACCTGCTATACTTTAATTTTAAAATTCTATGTTGAATATAATGACAAAACAACATGCATTATTTCTGTAGCATGTGCCTACACAGCATCTGACTTGGATAAGGCTATCATATGCAGAGTATATTAAATAAGTATTGCAATATTCACACTATTACACTATGTCTGTCTAGTGGGTTGTCTCACAGACTGTTATTTTTCTGATAGCATGTCATACCATTGGATTAATGACACCAGCAGGAAACTTTGCAGAATAAAGGAAAAGAAATTTCCTGATTTGAAACTCTTTGATTCTCTTTGTTACAAGTGAGCTTATGCCCTGAAATACAAGGGTATTATGGGTCATATGGGATGGGATTCATATTGAAGTTTAAGACGTGTGGATGTCTCTCTGTAGGTGATAGGGTGAAGATTTAGTTGGTGTTCAGTGAAAGCTAGTGAGTGACCCAGATCAATCTGAGTGGATATTCTAGCTGTTGTGTGGATATTCCTCGCTGTTCCGCAACTGTTCTGTTGTCCAAGAAAGGTACAGGTTTTTTCTGTGTCATGTATAAAGTTTCACAGATTCACTAATCCCTTCCTGATAACAGAGGTCACTGAGAACTTGGATTTACTGCTAAGGAATACTTAGTATATGTCTGGCATTTTTAACAATGTGCTTACCTATCCTTAACTATTACTGCTAGCTCTGGGTCCGCATGGCATCCAGTGCAGCTTATGGATCTACTTAGGGCTTTAGGAACATCTTCAGTTGTCAAACCCAGGCTGATCTCTGCATGACTTGGCTATCCTGATGCCATGACCTGAGCTTTCTAGCTAAATAGTCAGCTGTCCAGCCTTTCTATCTCAGGTTTCCCCACTTGTCTTTAAAGAGTGTTGTTAAGTCAATAAATAACATTTCCCTTCTCGTGGTTACAGATCAGTTCCCAAGTGTACCAAGTTTGGATTCCTGGAAGTACTGCCTCTGAATACTGTTTTAAATCAGGTTCTGGCTGCTTGCTGCTGTTAAACATCCTGTAGTACTTTTTAATAAGAGTTCAGGTGTTAGTACAGCTGTTCCAAAAAAACTCAAGACAGAGTAATTACAGTCTGGTTCCCAAGTCTCCACCTTATGTTTTAGTTGGATATCTTATATTTCCTGTTGTGGAGCCTGCTGCTGAAAGGCTTTTAGTTGCTGAGATTTTGTAGTAGGCATCTCCGGCCAGAAGTCGTTCCTAGGTATACGGCATTTTGTAATCTCATTTATGGAATTTATGATTTGGAAATTTATGATTGCATATTGAAGACTAGTAATGTTTCAGGTGCAACAAGGGCTTCCTAAATTATTTTTAAAGAGTATTATATTTTTTAAAAATCTTCAGCTGTAAAGTAACTTTCAAAATCAACTGGCATTGATTATATATACTTTACACTGAATATTTTAACTTTTGAGGTTTTATGTATGTTACAATGTATCTGCAGTGAATTCTGTGATGTTTTACTGCTAGGTCAGCTGCAGATTTCACATTTGATCTATTTAGTTTGAGGTTATATGTATATAACTACTTTAAAAAAGTGTCACCTTCCTTCAGAATCAGACTGTATCTAAAACCTTTGGAATTGGCTGTGTATTCAGTAGTTTGCAGATGAGCACTGATACTTCATGCGGATCTGATCGTGTGAATACTGGTGACATTGGTGGGACTCTGCTTAGTTTCTGGAGATTATGCTGCTGGATTTGAACAGAAGTTTGGGAATTCATACAGAATTTTATTTTGGGGTTGATTTCCTGCCTGTGAAAATAAAGCACGAAAGTGATCGTGAAATGCTTCTGTTAATTCTGTTTAGATAGAGATCTGTTTTATTTAGCTGCGGAGCAGAAGCGGGGAAGTGTTTCTGACACGGGCCGTGAGATGGCGGTGCAGCCACGGGAATACAGCCCGTGCCAGCACCGAGCTTTTTCAGGGCCAAACCCTGAGGCCACACCCAGAGTCTTTCCTGATGCTATAACTTGTGACGCACAAATATGTCAGAAACAAATAAGAAAATGGACGTAGACCAGATTTGTTTCAGGGACTTCTGATTGCCAAAGAAGAAGAAAAAAATCTGTGGGCAACAGTTCCTGTGATCTCACTTGTTGGATTAGACCCAAATGACTTCAAACAGGTCTGGTTCATCACAGCAGAGCAAAATCTAAACTGTAGTTGTTAATGATTTTTAGATGTCAGGATCTGCAGCATCTAAGGCTTAGCTGCAGAAAGGCTCCATCATCCGTACAATCTCAGAATACTTTTATGCATCTCCGTTTGGCACTGTTTCCTTAAAACTCTGGGCAGTGTGCACAGAATGTAATAGATGTTTTGCAGTCTAAGAAATGCTGATGTAGAGCAAAATGCTAATAGTCTGGAAGGGTGAGTGTGTTTAAAAAGCAGGAGAAGGCATGGAGGACGGAAACTACTAAAATAAAGCAGCTCTGGAAACAAGTGGAGTAGGCATGGTATCGTGTTCCTATTAAAAAAAAAAAATCTCTCTTGGGTTGTATATATAACTAACTGCTTGTCTCAGAAGCCGCCACTCCTGAAAACTGGTTTAACTACTTCCACTCCAAAACATTTGAACAATATTTGCCAGAGAGACAGCCCTGCCCTGAGAACTAAAAAGATACACAGAGTGGTTGAAGTGCTGTCACTTGTCCTATTCCAAACCAGTTTGACTTAAAGGTGTGTGTTAGTGGGAAATCTGGATTGGTGTTCAAATCATCAAGATGACCTAGTAGGGTCTTTTCCTTTCCCTCCACTGTGAAACATGGCTTGCCTTATGTCATAAAAGTTGTAATTTTAGAGAAGGTGCAGGCAAGAGTGCTAGTCTCACTTTAATCTCTGTTTTCTGCTGTTTATAGTTCTCTCCGTTTTATTTTTTTTTTCTTTTTGACTTCTAAGATAATGTGAAACAAAATCTCATTTTCAAGGGAGATGCTTTTTCATCCTGCTATCTGGGGTAATGTTCTGTTCGTGGTTTGCTTATCAGCAGGGATGACATATGTATGCTTAACATTGGAAATAAAAGATGTACAGAGAACCAGACATGAGATAAATTCACTTCAGGTCATTTTCCTAAGAGACCTGTTCCCAAGATTATCTGATAGTATTCTCATGTCAGTGCTGTAGTATTTTTATGTTGTAAGGATTATGATCTGCATAAATGTTGTGAAAATAGCAGATTCTGCATATAACTTTTCAAACCTAGGCATATAAATACAGTGATTATTTTGGTGATCAGTGACTTAATCACAAAATTGGTAGCAATCTGATTTTTACTTTGATAGAAGTAATTTGCTAGGAAACATGTAAATGTAGAAGCATAAGGGGCTTGGTCTGAGATGCCTAATTTGCGAAGTTGTTGATCAGCTAAGAGAGATCAGTTAATTGTTTCCAGTTTATATCCTGGTTCTAGGGTTTTTCCCACAGGAGTTCTCAGTTTATCCTCTCTTACCACAGACATGCATTTCCACCTGACACATCTTGATGCTACCCGATAATTGATTATCCATGATCGGACTCCTTTATTTAAAATGGTATTCACTGAGATACTGCAGCACATATGATAACTTCTAGTGGTGTCACTGTTCTCAGGAATAATCGAAGTAATCAGACTTCTGAGCTCCACATCAGCATAATGTCATCATGCCAGTAGAGCAACGGCTCGTGATATTAACCTTTCAAAATAGCCACCTCCTAGTGACAGACTGTTGTCTGTCTTGAACTTTCCCCTGTTTCCTGGAAGACTCTTTAAGTGAAGAGGTAAAATAAGCTTTCAAAAGAGCCTCTCCCTTCCTGTCATTTTGGAACTGGAGACTCGTTTGGTTTCTCAGCTCATTCTCCTAGCCCACCTGAGCTCAGATTTTCCTCTTGGAAAATCATTGCTCCAGTGTAATACCTCTGTCAAACAGATCATCTGAAATTTAGAGCTCCAGTTGTAGGCACTGCTGGTAAATCATCTCATGCCATTTCCCTGCTAATGGCAGCTTTTGGTATGGTGCTGTAAGAAAATAATTGAATGAGGGTTATATGTCTTCCGACAAATAATGTACATGGTTGGTCAGAATTACAGAATCATGGAATCATTTAGGTTGGAAAAGACCTTTAAGATCAAATCCAAGTGTAAACCTAACATTGCCAAGTCCACCACTAAACCATGTCCCTAAGCACAACACCTACACATCTTTTATGTAGGTACAGGGATGGTGACTTGACCGCTTTCTTGGACAGCCTGTTCCAATGCTTGATAACTCTTTCGGTGAAGAAATTTTTCCTGATAGCCATCTTAAACCTCCCCTGGTGCAACTTGAATTACTCACACTTTAGCAAGGAAGAACAGTCAAGTAAGGCAACAAAAAGCAAAATTTATGTGACTGACTAACCATGACTTTTTGATCAACTGTCATTGTACCAAAGAATACAAATAGCTGCTGAATTTTCAATGTTCAGAGAAAAAAGCCTTTAAAATTAATTTTCTAATGATGTGCCATATTTGGCCTGGTGTACCACATCTCAAAGATATGCCAGAATATGCTTTCAGATACCCTCCTGAGGGAAATCAGGAAGTAAGTGCAAAAAATTAGAACAGTAGGAAAATAGAAGATAACACAAGTAACAATGTATTTTGTAGTTATTTCTTCCATTGATTTTTAACTAACAAATAAACAAGACAGTAAGATATAACCCAAGAGTATCTCTGCTGAAATAAATATGCACTGTAGACCGTAACAATTTTTTTGAGTAAATGAAGAACCTTAAGGTTATACATGCTTTTGAAATGGTCTTGTCCTCTAGATACTAGACACTGTAGGAACTTCTTTCTTGTATGGAAATACTTGACTTAATTTTAAATGAGCTAGTAAAGATATTGCTGGTTGGTCAATCATGGTTCATCATGATGACTGTGAGTACTTATGTTAGGAAGCTTTTTGCTATCTAGCTTGGATATTTGGCTTTTTTTTATACAGAAACCAGGCATATGTAGATATCTACGGATTGGAAGCTCCATAAACTCTTCGTTATATGTACTACACAGTCTGGCACATGTGAGCTTGTGTGTCCTTCTGTGGTGCAAATGCATACTACTGGTTCCTACAGGAGCTCATAATGGTTGAGCCATGATTTAAAATTACATCATATCAGAAATTGTAATTTAACTTGAATATGGGTGGGATTTGGCCTAGAAGATATGTTAATTTGCTAATTTAACCACAACTACATTCATTTTCTCATATGATTCTTTTTTTCAATAGGGTCAAGTTCATTATCAAAGATTTAAAGTGTTGGAATATGGTAAGTGTTACTTAAGGGCATTTAGTAGTGATCAAAATTGGTAGTTGATTCTCCATTGATTTAGACTAGTTTCCCTTGGCTAGTATGAACCTCTTGAATACTCCAGAAATTCTAATTTCCAAATCTCTTGCTTCTCTGAGACTGACTCTGAGACTGTATCCTGGGAAAAAAATCACCTTAGCAGCTGCCCTGTTCATTGTAGTTTCAGTGACCCATAACTGTAGTGTCTGGATGTCACACAATCTTTAAAATACTTATCTTAAGTCTGTAAGATTCAGTTATTGTCCCTGTTTTTCCAGGATCATGCAGACAATGCGTTCATCCCCAAAATTTGTATAATGTCTGATCATGAAGCTTGCGGATTCTGAAAAGGTTGAATAAGCTCGACGTTTTATAGTTCAGTCTTATAAACTTGTGTGCAGTCTGCCTATATGATGCTTATTGTTCTCCTTTCAGTGAAAAGTCTTAGTCTGGGGTGTGCATATAGTTGGGTTAAAAATATATCTTACCTTATATTCCTTAGGAAACTGTAGTAGTCTTTATCATATTACGTGTTCTATGCTTATTACTTAAAAAAAAGAGGAAGATATTATTTCTTGTATGAATTTAGTGCTTTCTGTAATTTTTTTTTCAGTCTTACCAAAATTTGATGTTACGATAACAACACCATTATACTACTCTTTGAGAGAAGAAGATGTAACTGGTGTTGTCACTGCAAAGTAAGTAAATCATTGATACCATTGTCACTCTCAAATTATTGTGGATCTTTAAGTGTCAAAGTGAAAACTTACATTTAGAATGCTGAAAAAGTCCCTTCTAGTCCAAATTAGTTGGCTAGCATAAATTTCTAGTTACTGGATTTTGTTGTAACAATGATAGATACATCTTCAGACTTCTCATGTATTTTTTGGTCTGGTAAGGGTATTTCTAGACTTCAGCAAGTACATTTTTTGCTACCTTATTCAGAAAATTTCTTGAGTCTTTTGCTCATAATGTTTATTTTGAGGCATTTTTTTGTTCTCATGGCTCTTTTGTGGTGCTTTCTAACTTACCACATCAACGTCTGTAGGTAGAGTGACTATATTTTATTAGACCACTTGGAAAATTATGCAAACTTCTGTGCACATCCTTCTTGATTCAATTTTTCCACATTGTGGATTTGAAGTATAGACTTCTCCAGCCTATAAAAATATCTATACCTGTAAATTATGAAGAATTAAAAACTCTTGAGACATTCAGAAGATACTTCACTGTAAACTACTGTATAAATAATAATTTATTTTTCAGCTGAACAAATATCTAGAGAAAAAATTTAGTATGCATTAATCTCAAACATAAATTTATTTTGGGAAGATAAGAGTCAGATAGATCTACCTGAAATATCAATTCAAGACGACCTAAAATAAAAGATTTTCTCTGGGTTATTATTGCCATAAAATGCATATATTCTAAGCAAGAACTCAATTTCTAAGTGAAATGCAGAAATAATTGTTTAACAAGCTATTTAAATCAAATGTTTGAACTTCTGACAAAAAGCTTCCTTTCCTAGAGGCATTGCAACCTGATACTATAAACCATCTAGGCTTCTGATAAGTGGCAATTTAGAAAAAAATTTCCTCCATTTCTTTCCCAATTCTGCTTTACTTTTGGACTCCGTTATATGCCAATGTAAATTTGGTTTCTGAAGTTGTTTTGATCTTCCGCAGGGTACTTGACTCCTCCATTAAATATAGTCATAAGATATATGAGTGTACCTATCTGTTGCAATAAATCCAGACTTGGACACCAGTGAATTGTCTGAAATTGAATCCCAGCAGTGCCAAAGTTTTACTGTTATGTCATAATTATTTATAGGGAATGACTTAATTCTTGGTGACTGTTTTTATAGGTATAATGCCTCTGTGTACAAAGAATTTATATGTCCATTACACTTGTAGATGTCATAAAACCCTTTTCCTTTCTCATCTCTGGAGTATTATTAAATTAAGTACAGGGATGCTACCCAGTTGTGGTATCATTTCAAGGTTAATGGCAGCTTATTACTGTAATTAGGTCTGCTTGGAAAGACTGAGTTCAGGTGCAAGATAGTGTTGTCAAGAGTTCTTCCAGTAACTGCACTATTTGATTATTCTTTCTCTCTGCTTTTCAGCTTTGATATTTCTTAAGTGGTTGCCAATCAAATACATAATGATTTAAAGTACTTAAATTTATCACATCTGAATGTATTACTACTGAGGGGCTAGAATGATTTTGGGTTTCCTCCCACCTTTCTATGTCTGAATCTGATATTGTAATGGTTTCTCTTATGTATAACGTGGAAACATTTATACAAAATATTTTATTACTGCTCGACTGCAGGTTGCTAATGGCATTCTAAGAAGTGAGTATGTTACCATTTTCAGATTTGCCACAGCTGCAAATTATGTTTGCTGTGTAATAATTCTATGATTTCTTTGAACTGTGATTAATAAAAATTTGAGTAATCTTGAGATCTCTCATTCTGGGTTAGCAGCATTTGGGAAACAAAATGCTTATACGCTTCCCATGTCCCATTTTAACTCTACTGCATATTAGTTATGATGCTAGATTGCTGTTCTAGTCAGTAACTTGCTTCCAGTTCAGCTTAATATAGATAGTTAATTTTCCTACACTGTACAGCCCATAATAATAATAATAATAGGTTTATTGAGCTTGGAAAGAGCAGCAGTATCTTCTCCGGGTTTTGAGCTTCTGACTTTAGTGTCGATAACATGTCTCAGTACTGGAAACACCACATTTCAAAGTACAACTGTGTTCTAGCCATGTTTGAGTTGAGGGAAGAATGTTTTAGTAGAATGTTTTGCCTTGGGAACTCTTCAGGAGTCCAAGCCCTGGAGGTGATGCATTGTTTGACTGGTATGTTTCAGGTACACCTATGGAAAGCCGGTAAAGGGAACTGTAACGGTCACTTGCCTTTCTGTCTCTTACTGGACAAACAAGAGAAATATAACAACAACAATGGAGGTGAGTCTTCTGTTAGCAGTTTGTAGCATTGTAGACTTTAAGCCTGTGTCTTTTTTTGTAGGTTAAATATGCCTGGGACTATTCTTGAGTGCTGAATTCAACTGGCATGGTCTATGGACTGACTTGCATGGATAGTGTTATAACTCTCTTCGATTTCCAGAATAAAGTGTCTACATTTAGACTGCTTGTTGGGAACAACACTTGGCCACTGTGGTGCCTTGAACTGGGCGTGGAAGTTATTTTGGAGAGTTCTAGTTGGCCCAGGTAGAAAAACTTCCAGGAGCCTCTGTACCAGCATAGGTGATGGAGGACCTGTGCCCAGGAATGCTCCCTGGCCCTGTGTGTGCCCCTGCACACTCAGCCCTGTGTTACAAGGCCAGAGGAGACCACTGCAATAGTCTAAGTGGAGCTCTAGCATGGTAAAGACCAAAGCGTTTTGCCTACTAATTGCCTAGTAATTGCATTGGAGTTACTGTACTAGTTGTAACCTGGAACATGAAATTTATAAAGCATGCACTTTTGATCTGAAGGCTTAAAAGTGGTGGTAGATTCATGGCATCCTGTGGCAAAATCAGGTATTTTATGTTTGAGCTGTGAAACACATTTAAAACAGGTTCAATTTTTGCTACATGGTGTGTCTGTCGTTTTCTGTTGGCTGACTTCAGCGCCTTCAGCAGCACTAAGCTTACAGAAACTCTGAGCTCAGGGATGTTGGATAGGGTATACCTCCTCCTCAGGCAGGGACCTTTTAATTGTAATTTTTTGTAAAGCATAGGTACCACTGCTCTGGCAATGTAAAAGTGGATAATGCTAGATATCAAGAAAGAAAAAGTAAATTTCTCCATAAGGCATTGTTGACTAAAAAGTGATGAACTGCAACTGGATTTAATGAAAATGGTTACTGAAAGCAAAAAATAAAAATAGTGTTCATAATTTCCTGGTGTTGACACTCCAGAACTTGTATGTGGGGAGAGCTACAGGACTTAACCAGAAACAAGCTGTTGTAGGTCGAAAGATGTCCTTGGCTTTGCTGTCTCAACAGGTTGTTTTGTTGGGTTTTTTTTCTACATTGCAGATAAATGGATCTGTGAATGTAACCTGTAACAAGCTTATGTTGCAAAACTTGAACACTGATCAGTCGTGGCACCAAGGTGACAGTGATTACACAGAGCCAATAGAAATTATTGCAGTGGTTACTGAGTTGCTCACAGGTATGTGGCTGTGTGATGTCTTCTGAGAGAAATCCAAAAAGTAGGTGGTGCTGGAAGAGCTTACTGCTATGTGGAAGAGCTTGGAGTGCTAGAAAAGCATCATGTTCTGATGGCAGTATGAATCATCTACATGCAGATGTATTATCTGAAAAAATAAATTTGAACTGTTGCTTGCCTAGATATTAAATGTTTTAACCACCTGTTAACTTGGTTGAATACAGTTCCGTGTTAAATGATTTATTAAATAACAAAGAAATATATTCACATGGGGGCTTAAAGTCAGTGACTGATCACTTTTGATAACAAGAGCAGGCATAAAGAATTGCTAGCATTAGCCTGAGTCTTGCAAACTTAAGTTTAATCATAAACTTACCTTGTTTGTTTGTAAACCACATCAGTAGAAAGAGTTCTCTGGTCCTGCGCTGTCCAGTGTCTACTTTCTTCCAGACTGCCTGATTCGCAAACTGAGCCTTTTTGTGTGTTCATGTTCCACTGCACCTTGCATATTAGAAAAAAATAATTTGTACAAATTTCTGCCTGTCCCAGAAACTAGGTTTCATGACAGACTTTCTGTAGAAACCCTGCCAAGGTGAAGTTGGCTGATGTGGGGTTCATAAGTTCCTTTCTTGTGTCCTTCTGATACAGTCTGTGTGGAGCAGAGCACTATGTGCTATGGCTTATTTAGCATCGTGGAAGACAGTACCAGTATGTGTACCACCTTTGTATTGATCCTTAGCTGGAAGGATGAAAAGTAACAGGAGTGGAAATGGTGAAAAATATGACAATTATTTAGTAATAATGGACAGTAAATTGTATTGCTGCTAAAGTAGTATGTATGTTGAAAGCATGTTGTCTAAACACATACAATTATTCAACAGGAATCTCCCAAAATTCAAGTACCATCATATTTCCAAAGCAAAGTGACTATTTTATTGAATTTATGGACTACTCTAGAGTTATAAAACCTTCTCTGAACTTCATAGCTACTGTAAGTTCTTTTATTTTACTATTGTCCATGTATAAACAAATGTGACTTCTGTATTTTTGCTTAGATGCCAAAGTTTGCCTCAGATTTTTAAGTATAATTTACAGATTTGTTTTCAAATTGCCTTTTTTTCATGATGCATACTGCCAAATACTGAACTTAGAGGCACTTGCTCTAGAAAAGGGTGGCAGGGAATGCTGTAGTGTTGGCAGGATATATTTGAGCATAGTTTGTCAGCATTCTCATGGAAGAGAAATCTTTCCAGTTTCTAGCTGACTGTTTTCCATTGGTTGACTGTGCTTTAAAACAATAGGGTAGTTCTTGAGTCCCAACCCTCCTAATAATATTTGTATATGGAATTGTGTCTATATACACAGAAATATATACTTTATATAATGCATATATATAAGTAAGCAGTTGTTACAAAATTCAGTAAAATCACCAAACCACATTGCTCTCAAGTGAAAGTGTCTTTTCTGCCTTCTGTCCTGTCTTTCTCATATCAGCTGCAGTCCTCTCATAGAAGTATTTCATGCTGTCTGTAGTCTGCATTCAGTATTTCTACATTTAGCAGAGATTGCATATTGCATCTCTGCATTTTTCTTGAAAAGGGGAATCGACGTTACTATTCTTGAGCCTTTACTCTATAGAAATCAGACCTAAATGACAGTAAAATATGCTAACACACTTTCAGAGTAGATTGCCTTAAGTCATAGCTTTGTGCTAGCCTGATCATTTGGGTCTTTGGTTTTTGTCCTTTTCATTTTCCTTACCAACAACCCAGTTGGACTCCAGCTCTGACCTGCTTCTTTTTCCTCTTCCAAAGATGAGCTGAGAGGTAGCTGAGGCATTTAGCAATGCTTGCAGCTGTCAGAGAAGAAGGTATCAGTTATGCTCCCAGAGGAGTGTGAAGGAACAACTGCTGTTATTACTAGTAAGTGGAGATCTGCATACGGTGTACAGAGAGAAGATAGGAAAATAATGGCAGAGGGGGAGAGATAATGGAGTGACAGATCTCTGCATTGAAAAAAGAAAAGTGAAGCATTACTTTGGTGCTTTTAAATGTAGAAATTGAATTTTTGGAGTGTGTAATGCAGAAGGAGAATGGTTGTACTATGGATGAGAATCTGCTTGAATGTGGGAATAAAGGTTGGTGTAAGCTGTAGTGCTAATTGATGGATGCTGGAGTGAAGAAGTTGCAGAATTTTGGGCCTGGTTTAAGTCTTCAGCTCATTTGCTGAATCCATAAAGATGTCTGACTTGGCACCATCTTTGCTCATCTGACACATTTTCCTGCACATGATGTAATGTTAGGTTGTGCTTTGTTGTGGTGGTGAGATATAAGTGATAAAATTAAATATTCAGACTCTTAAGTAGGATATGTGTAATTTGCCTGAGAGACAAACATTTTCAACAAGAACAGTAATTAAGAGAGCTGAAAGCCAAGTCACCTTTCAGTTCCATCTGCTTCGCTTTTGCTCTTTTTTCACTCCCTAGAGTTATGAATAATTCTGTTCTTGGCTGACTTGCCTACATGCAGTGCTCACAAGTGATTAAAAATAAAGTTACTGATGTGTGAGAAAACTCAGGATGCCCTTGTTTTTTTTTGATATGATGTGAGAGATATATAGTTACATGTTACGCGATGTGCATTTTCGCTTTACCCTTTATGACAGGTGTTTTCTTTCTTTCTGTTTTTAGCTAAAGGTGACACGTTCTGATGGCAACCAGCTGACAGCTGCAGAGAGGCAGAATCTTGTCACAATCACTGCACAACAGTCAGACCTGCTTTTTCACCACTCTTCACTTTCTCACCTTGAGAATGAGGCAACAGAGGAGAGAAATCTGACAGTCCATGTCCTGAATTACACAGTCCCAGAAAATGGAATAATTGATATTGAGTTTCCAATCCAGTCTGATACAAAAACTCTGAGAGTTCAGGTATTGCTTTGTAATATGTTTCTTTGGAGCAGCAACGTACCAAATCGAGTGGGCTGTGATCAATGATACGCTGTTCTTGTCATCTGCAACAGCTGTTATATCACCTACTGCTATTTTCCTTACCTCCTATTCATGTTAGAGCTGGAAAGAAAATGACAGATACTGTCTAAATGTGATCTAATAATTGTACCATATAGCAAGGGAAAAAACAAAACTGATACCCAAAGTAAGCAGTGAAGTGGTCCTGTACTGCCATTAATGCTACCATGCTCTTGTAAACAGTACCATATATGTGAATCACACAGATTTTGCTGTTTTGTTAAGAGCTTTGTTTTGCATTGTCTTGCAGGCAGAGTTCCTCAGCAGTAGGACTGACATAGGTGTTTATGATGTGTTCAGCTCCCCTAGCCAGACTTATCTCCAGGTTAAAACAAAGAGCCAGGATATAAAGGTACAGTCTGAGACAAAACTTGTCCAGGTAAGAACTGTTCACATTACTCTTCATGTTTTCATACTCATCCATATGAATCATATGTTTTTTCTAGGCTGGGAAGCCTTTTGAGCTGAGCATTGCAAGCAACAAGCCAGTGAGAGAGTTCCACTATATGGTAAGTTACTGGTTTTACATATGAGGACAATCCAAGATGACTTTTACCAACTTGAGAAATACTCCAGTGAGTGGAATGTGATTGAATGTAAGAGAGATTCGGCATTTTTTGTCATGCTTTGTGAAAGAGGTGGCCCCAAAACTTCCTTTTTTCTAGGATGGTCCTTTTTGAAAGAGGGCTCCATTTCACTACGTATCAGAAGTGCCCCTGGCACTGTAAGGACGTGTTGTCTGGGAGAAGTGCATCTTTGATTTGGGTGTTGGGTTGTCTCTGCTTGCAGATGTGTGAGGCAAGGTGCAACTGTGAGAGCAATACTGTCTCTGACTATGCAGAGCACCTGTGAGGGAAGACAGGGCAGGGATGTCCCAGGAGCAGCCTAAGCTGGAACTTGTCAGCAGGTCCTGTGGATGCAGGTGGAAGCAGGGGGCTTATGGAGCCTGTATGCAGGTTCAGGGCTGTCAAGGCTGAGCCTGCAGGTGTAGGGTGAGGACAAGACCTGCCTGCTGAGGAAACAGATGGTCCAGTGAGCAGGGTGGCATTGTTAACAAGGGAACTTCGTAGAAAGCATTTAAAAAAAAGTCTTGCCTAATGGCTTCTTTAATGGCTCAGCTGCTGTACTGTATCTTACAATATCTGGATTGAAGAGTTTATTACATATGCCATCATCAGTCTCCCATCCTGTCCTTAACATGTGCCTGTCTTGTGCACAGTCTACACCATAATGATCATGACAACAACGATTATTTTTCTTTCAGAGACTTTAATAGTAAACTGAATAAGGAAAACCTTAGGACAATATAAAATGTGGGCATTCATGTGCATTTTCTAAAATAGAAACACTTTCTAGCAGATTTAAAAAAAAAAAATCAGATCCATGCAATCAAAAGCAGGGAACTGCCCTTCATGGCTCTGTTTCATTAGTAAGTGATATGGTCCAATAGAAGCAATTTAGAGTGAAAAAGTTGATGCTGTGGGCCTGAGCTCTGGGTATTATGAGATACCTTCAGACTAGCTCTAATCTGATCTGGTAAAATGAATGCCTGTTTTTACCTGGAACATGTTAGTGGACCCCAGTTCACACTCTACATGGTGCAAGCCAAAGTGTGGTAAGTAGGGGTGTTTGGGAGATTTGCTTCTAAGGTTGTATTCCTGATCCAAACTCAAATGCGGTTATAGATGACCCACATGGCCCAGTCATATTACTGTTATATTTTTATGTCCTCATAGCATATGTTGTGCTGTGGACTCATCATTGTAGTTTTTTACCTGTCCATAGTGATACAGGAATTAAAGCATGAAAAAAAAATAATCTATTTCTAATATTTAAATATTACATTACCCACCTGTTCCATACGCAGCCTTACAGAATTAGTTGACCACTTAGTAAAAAAAAAAAAAATAATCACAGCTACATGTCTCTTCTTTTAACAGCTGTTTGCAGAAGGAATTGCAGAGCTTATGACACATTGAGATACCAACATTTTTCCCTTTCAGGTGTTATCTAAGGAACAAATTATGGCTTTTGGCACAAAGGCTGCAAAAACATTCACTTTAACAGCAGAAAATTCCTGGGCTCCTTTGGCATGTATACTTGTATTCTATGTTGATGATCTTGGAGTGGTTGTAAATGATGCTCTCACTATCCCAGTTCAGCCCGTTCTGGATGACAAGGTAACTATATTGAACTTGAGTCTGAGACCATGGTTTTTTTCTGTTTGTTGCATGGTAAACAGTATTTTAGATCAGAGGACTGAAACTGTCAAAACTTTCTCATTGAGGATCTAATCTCGGGTTTGTGTAAGTTCTTGGAAAGACTTTTGATAATACTAGGGTAGTTAGGGCTAATAGAAAGAAATTTCTATTAGCTCTATTTGTTCCACATAAAGAGATGTACAGCATCTCCCTGTGATTTTAATAGTTTGGTCAGTTACTGAGCCAAAGCTTGCTCTGGCCAGTATAGTGGAAAGGTACTTGTAAGTGCTCTAAGTGCGAACTGCAAATGTTTATGATGACCTTGTTCTAGTCAGGCAGTGGTCACATTGTACATGGGCTGTCATCAGTGAATGTGACCAGTGTTTGTGTTCCATGTGACTGTGCATACTTTAACTCAAAAAAGGTTGAAGAGGAGTGGGAAAACTACTATTGCAACAGTGAATTGATCTTTCTAGCTTAATTACCAGGATTAGATTTCCTCCTCTGTGCAAATAAAAGCCTCACTGACTTTTTACAAGTGAGACCACCCAAATGCTCTCAAGGGGTTGAGATTCTTCCTCCTCTATGGAAACTTTAATACTTATAATTAGACATAAGTAGGGACGCTGTCTTACTCCTGCATGAAAAATTATTTCTTTTGACTCTATGTGTGACTGGAGCTTAGAGACTGAACTGAAATGTGGACAGCTAAATGTAGGTAACTTAGTTGAATTCCACCTCAAGACTTTGTAGTAGTGGTGTTTTGATGAGGAAAAGGAATAAAATTGTTCATTTTAAACAGGAATTTTGTATTATCATCTGATGCACTGGAGATGGGATGCATTAGAAATACCTTGCAGCAGATGACATTTCCTCTCTTCAGTACCCCAGGGAAGGCGAACTGATGCTCTATTAGCCTATTTATTTCCATATTCCTTACAGATGCTCCTATTACATATATCCCTTTTCTGTATTGATGTCGCAGCAGAACACTTAGTTGTAATCTTTGAGGGCTGAATTTTTTTCCCCAAATTATCTTTTCCCTAAATACGTTACGTGCCATGTTGTGCATTAATAAACAGCAAATGCATTTCTTTTACTTCCCTCAGCTGTAGAAACGTATATCCTTGTGGCTCAAGAGATTGCTGCTTGTATACTAAGGGGTGGTTGAAATAACAACGGATCCTGATGCTGACTTCCCACCAGTCCAAGGACCTGATGATCTAGGAGAGCAAGAGAGCAAAATGAATGCCATAGTATTTTCTCAAAGATCCTAGGAAAAGCAAATCCAGAGTCCTAATTATAGCCAATTAAGCTAAGAAAATGCTCCCTTGAAGTTGTCAGGGGCTGTAAATATCACTGCATAATTTAAACCAGTGCTGTTTTTTACTTTTTTCTAGATTAAAATCTCTTGGAGCAAAGATAAGGTCAAGCCATCTGAGAAAGTGTCCCTTAAAATCAGTACAACAGAACCAGGATCAGTAATTGGACTTGCAGTGGTTGATAAAAGTACAAAGCTTCTAGGAGAAAGTAGCGATATAACGGAAGATTCTGTAAGTAAATGGGAAAAAAAGTTTTCGTTATTATGTATGAAGCATGTATGCTTAAGGAAATGTTACAGTTTATTTGCTGCATGATTAATGTTCTTTGGGCAGGATTTTTAGTCCTTAATTATGCAAATAGTTTTTACTTCTGAAAAAAAAAGACTGTAGGGCTTACAAGGTAATAGATACACCATTTCTAATTCCAATTAATACTTTATTGTTCTTCCATTTGATAAACTGCTCAGTTAACACTTGGCAGTTTCTTCTTTCAGGGAAGACCAAAAAGTCATAAAAACTCCTTAATGATTTTTGCTTTGTGGTCTTTAAAATGAGTACTATAAAATAAAGAATTTATTTTTTGAAGAGCAGAATAAATTAATAATCTTTTTGAATTTCCTTTAATTGCGGAAGTTCTAGTGCATCGACAGTTTGAAAGAGCTGACAATATACATTATTCTTAAAATGCTCAAATGGTGTAGCCTACGTGCCATAGAATATCAGTGGGCTGTAGGTCCTATTTTAGGCTTACATAGTCTTGGTCTCTCTTCCATTAATCTTGAAACCATTGCAGCCTAACCCCCTTCATCCTGTCATGGATTCTTTTTTCTTTGACATGAGAGCTGAGCAAGCTGCTGTGTGAGGTACAGCTCAGCATCTACAACAGTGTAAGTTCTGAAAAATGTGTTTGCATTCACTCTTTGGATGATTTGTTCTTCTTATCTTAGATCTTCCATGAGCTCAATTTATACAGCACAGTGCAGTATTTCCCCCTGGTCAGAGGTTCTTTTGGTGTCTTTCAGGTACTTTCTTTTTTAATTCTAAGCTGGGTTTTTTTACTTCTTAGTGATTTGCATATCACTTGCTAGAAGAACATGCCTTTTTAAAAGTTTGCGGCTATAGACAATGTACTGTTTCCATGGCTTATATGGGTTTTGAATTCTGAAAATGATCAATATGTAAACACTCTGAATGGAAAGAAATATGTTTATGCTTTCACAAATATGGATTGATTTATATTTGATATTGTCTTCCCTTTGAAATGTCTTCAGTCATTAGGACAATATTCAGATTCAAATGATCTCAGTTTTGTTGGTTCCTGTATATTACTTGCTTTAGTTCTATTATTAATTTATTATGATGACTTTATTTTCTTAAAAAGAAAGAAAAGAAAAAGAAAATAGATAAGCACTGTTGATGTCCTGAATGTCCTGTATTGAGATATACTGTATAAATTTTATCCAGAAATGCAGCCTTTGGGTATCAACTGATGCAATTCTTGAGGAGGATAAGGAACATTTTCTTTGTAAGTAATAAAAATAAATGTAGCCAAATCTAATTTACTGAGTGGGGAAGGAGGTCCATGGGTTAAGGCTTTTACTGTGCTTCATACAAGCTGCATCCAGCCTTGCAAACCATTACTGTTTCCAAGGTTCAAGACATACAAAATGCATATGACTGGTATTTTAAAAACTTCCTTTTTGCTGCTGTCCAGAGTGACACTACCCATTAAAGGCCCGGGGGTGAATGGAGTTTTTATTTGCAGTTCCAGCTGATATATGTTGCAGTGGTTTGTCATGTGTACCCATATTACACCAGTTCCATAAGCGCTCCAGAGAGACCATATAAAAATTTGAGTGAAACGTTTTTTTTTTGTTAAAAAAAAATGATGTCACAGGGTAGTGTTACTGTATGTAACAAGACTATAAATTATACTCCAAACACTGTATTGATTTGACTTTTCTTAACTGTATTAATTTGATTTTTCTTAAACCTAGGTATTTGTAGGTAGGAAAATACTTTTTATTTTGTAGATGGTGGAATGATACCCATAGAGGATGGTTTTGGTGATGATATGCCGGTGTCTAAAAATGGACCTCCTGATTTCAGCAATCTGTATGTGAGGACACATTTTCCAGAGACTTGGCTTTGGATCGACACTAAAACTAGGTATAAGATTAGAAGCAAATGGAAACTGATTTACACTTGCCGTTGTTATTTTGTAGGATTTAGTAACATTCTGCACTGGTGCTGAAGTGCACTGCTTAAAAGTGTAGTTATTATTGATATCCTACTACCACCTAGAGGCCACAAGTGAGATTGTAGACCCACCAAATAACGAGGCGTTGTACAGTTGTGCAAAATAGGACAATGTCTAACTGAAGGCCTTGTAGTTTCAACAGAAAGTAGATAAAAATCCTGGAGACAAAAGAAACTCTCTTCATTTTACAGATGAGGAGATAATAGGGAGACCAGTCTTTTTCTCTACAGTACATGGGAAGATGGTGATTAGGCCAGAAAGGGAAATCTCTTGCTGTCTGCACCTAATTCAATGAACAGTTCAAACTGTCAAACGATGGTGAAATCCAACCGGTGTTGTGAAGCACAAGTCTTGTATTCTTTCATAGCTGAGAAGTTTGGGAAGCAAGTGTTATAGGGGATTGCTTTAAAGGTTCTGTAAAAGTTGACTATGTGTAATGTGATTCAATATAATTACCTCCAATTCATGTAATTTAAAATATTTTTTTAATAATTTTGATCCCATCACAATATTTCTATATAATTAGGAAAAGAAAAATAGATAATCAGCAGCTTTTCCTGCCAAAAGTTTGGACATGATTTTTGATGCATTTTAAACATTCATGTCTACTTAGTGATGTCTGTAAATGGGTGCTTTTGAAAGTCTCCTCTCCTCTTCTGCCATCAGGTCTGACACAAACACCACAATGGAAGTCATTGTACCTGATACCATCACATCCTGGGTAGCCAGTGCTTTTGTGATGTCTGAAAACAGTGGGCTTGGAGTGACGACTGCTCCAGTGGAGGTACCATGGCACTAGCAGTTCTTTAAACACTGGTAACGCTGTAGTTTATTACTGGAAGCTGTATTTTAGTTCTAACAGCAGCCATCTCCTTATAATAATGAAGTAATTGAGAGGCCACATGTATTCAAACTGTAAAGAAAACACTATCACTGAAGATATACGTGATACTGTATCTGCCTCCCCTTCCTGCTCATATAAATATATATCTCAGACATTACACAGATACTCGGGTGCCTATTTCTGTTGGAGTAGTTGTTTTGTTAGAGCACTTTCAGGATAGCCCCACTTCAGAATCTTTATATGTAGAAAGGGGGAATGAATGCCTGAGAACAGTGTGTTTCCATGTTTACTTGGCTTTGCTAGGAGGGCTTTCCATGAGTTAACAGTGCATGCAGGGAGCTTTGCACAGACTAGCTAGAAAGAGGTGGCCGGGGTGGGAGAGACACATTGTCTGCTGGAAAGTTCATTCCACTGCACTGCTTTGCTAACGCTTATCCCAGGAGGGACGATAGGAGAATGGGGTCTTGCTTTCATTTATCTGTCAAAACCTGTCTTGGATTAAACATAGGTGCGATTTTTTGAGTGATTTAGATTGAGGAGCAGAGTGGACCCTTAGAGCCAGCAGTGGGATGAGATGCTTCTTGCTGCCAAGTTCCTGTCTCCTGAGACTCTTTTTGTGCTTCTAAGTGTTTGAGAAGTTCAGCAATTTAAGCTAAATTCAGCACTCTCTAACCTGAGATTCCCAATGTACAAGTGCAGTTGTCCTCAGCTCACTCTGTATTCATGGAAGCATCTACTTAAGAGTTATTTAGCCTGTGTAAAATAGGAATTACTTTTTGAAGTCTTATTTAGCTAGTATTTTATGTACGTTGAACAGTCCTCTGAAGGTGGTTATCTCCTTCCGTTCATTATGTAAAGATCCTAGAGAAACTATGTTCCTAGCTGAGACAACTCCACTTAAGTGCCTAAGGTTAGAAAGGTTGAAACTGTGCAGTACTGGGTCATAGATTTCCAACTTGATGCCAGGACTAGTGCAAACATAGCTTGGAGACAGCCAATTTACCCATTTAAGTTCTCATGCCTTCAAATTCTTGGGGAGGGGTAACTTTTGGGATCCAAACTGAGATCTAGGTCCAGATTTCATAGTTGGCTGCTACGCCAGACACAGAACATGTGCTTTGAACACCCTGATCATAACTCTGCCACAAAATTTGGAGCTCGATCTGGATTTTGCGGCTAAGGCTCCTTTGAGACTGCAATCACGATTTTTGTTTCTTTCACTTGGCTTGACAGTGATGGGACAGAAAGAGGAATAGTTTTCTGATTCAAATGGTATGAAAATATATACTTGGCCTCTTATCCTCAAATTTGAGAAGGCTGCAAGTAGAACAGATGTTGAGATTATTATTTAACTATAATCACCCACATGCACTGTTCAGTACTTCACTCTCGTTGGGATGTTTAGATTGCACTTAGAGTTTCATATGGCTGAAACATGTTAATCAGTACCATACAGAGAGGCAAATAAAAGAAATGCATGAGAACTGTAATGGGAAAATAAATAAGTCACATCTGCTTGCTTAATGTCACTTACTGCTTTGCATCTTGTTTTTATCTGATTTCTACTACAGAGTGTCGATAATATTACCCTGTCGTAGTTTATTGTAATATACCAGAATATTCCTGACTGTAAAACCTCAGTATTGAAAGAGTTTTAGAGAAAAGCAAAACATAGACAAAGAAAATAGGTACACAGGGAAAACTTTGACTAAGGACTAACCAAAAATTCTCCATCAGAACTTCTCTAATGTCTAATATCTAAAGAAGTGTTTGTCACCAAAGGCTTTAGCAAGCAACTTTTCAAAGTTTTAAAATGTTCGAAAATTTGCTAGCTAGAAAGAAAGCTGTGGAGTTTTTGGATCTGAAACTCAAAACACGTGCAAGAATTTTTTAAATGAAAACCAAATTAAAACCATTTTTAGTTGACATTTCAATAATAAAGGATATCATGCTTCAGCCATTCTTATTGTACAAATGTTCATAAACAGTGAAATTTTGATCCCATTGAGCTTGATGAGAGCTTACCACTGACTTCTTAGATCCGAAAACCTCTGTTCACAGATAAAAGTAACTGCTTGCTGGTATATTTCTGAAGTTTTTCTTTTAATTTATGAAGATACATATTTTTAGAAATGTAACAAATTTATGCCAAGATTAATCTTCCAGAATAACACATCATTCTAAGGTGTTGGTGAATTACACAGTTTGAGAGAGTTAGTTATTTTATATTCCAACATGTGTTTCTGTATTGTCATGCAAATAGGGCAATGGACAGATTCTTAATCACCCATTACTTGTGCACTCAAACCAGTTCAGTTACCTTAATGAGACTTCAGGAGGATCACAGCTTCAAAATTTGCCAGATAATAGACTTAGTCCCAGTTCAGGTGCCTCGTTGGAACTTGCCCTGTCAAAGCTGTCAGTAACTCTCATCTGAATGGTGCCACTGAGTTCTCATAAAAGTGCTTATGACCAGGAACATCTTTGGCTTCTGCTTCAGCTGTGCAGTAATGCATTTTGTTAACTGTAGAGTACAAGTAAATGTACGCTGTCATTTGAATTTAAAAGGGATCAGAAGACAAGTTGTGTAGTCATTTTCTTGCTAGTATCTGATTGTAGGAGTTCACTGCTGATTTTGTTTTGCAGCTAGAAGCTTTTCAACCTTTCTTCATTTTCCTGAACCTTCCATACTCCATCATCAGAGGAGAGCAGTTCATTTTGGAAGTGAACATCTTTAATTATTTGAAAGAAGAAGCTGAGGTAAAATAAGTCTTTTTGTACTTGAATGTTACTAGACATTGCAGGGTTTTCATTACCAGTGGAGACCACATCTTTCTCTTGTGAAAACTTTAATATTTTCTTCAGTGAGTGGACCATAAAGCTATTTCTCTGTACACGAAAAAGGTGACAGCTTATGAAAGCAGTTTTTCAAAATTAACACTTTGTATTGCAAATGTTCCTGTATTTACAGGTTACTGTGATCCTGGATATGAATGATGCTTTTGAAATTATTCTAACATCCAATGAAATAAATGCTACAGAAGATCAACAGTCTGTATCTGTACCAAGTGAGGATGGGAGAACTGTTCAATTCCCAATCAAACCGAAACAGCTGGGAGAGATTCCTATCAAAGTGACAGCAGTGTCATCTGCTGCTTCTGATGCTATCGTTCAGAAAGTTTTAGTAAAGGTAAACAGTATGCAGCTTGGCTTGTTTCTGAAATAAATGGTTCCCTAAAATAGGCAGCAGTGCAGCAATAAAGCAAACCAATTTACTTGTCTGCCTTTTGCTCTGTAAGGTTGGTTTCAGGTCAGGTTTTTGGTTTTAAGTAGAAAACAATTCTTTTAAAATAATTTCACCTTTAAAATTCTTTAGATCCCCTTCCAGGAATGAACACATAGATCTGTTCTACAACAAATAGTGAGTCAAATGCTTCTGAAAGAGAGGTGAAACCTGTGTGCATCAGTAAAGCCTGATGCTACAGCTATCTTAATAATCTGTGGAGAGTGGAACAAATAACTGTTATGGATAATCAGTTTTGCCATACACCTGGCTTTAATTCAGAGCCTATTTTATTTGAATATCTCTGTATTCTGCTAGTGGTGGAAATTTAGCCCCCAGACTTTCTGATAAGCCAGAAATTGATAAGACTTGCTTTACTTTGGACATCTAAGTCTGATTCATTCAGGCTTCATTTCAGTAGAAGATGGTAGACATTTGTACATCTCATCCTAAAATAAATGCTTAAGATCATAGAACCAAAGAATGGTTGGGATTGGAAGGGAATGAGTGGTCCAGCCTTCCTGCTCAGGGCAGGATCAACTACAGCAGGATGTTCAGAACCATGTATGGTCAGGTTTTTAATATCCCCAAGGACAGGGTCTTCACAGCCTTTCTGGGCAGCTTATTCCACTGTTTGAACACCCTTTCAGGTTAGGTTTTTGTTTGTTTGTTTGTGTTTTTTTTTTTTTTTAATGTTTAAAAGGAAATCCCTTTATTTAAATTTGTGTGTGTTCCCTTCGATTGTGCTCTTGGGTGCCACTAAGAAGAGCCTATTTCCATCTTTATACTCTCCCTTCAGGTATTTGTACACATTGATGAGCTCCCCCAGAGCCTTCTCTTTTCCAGGCTGAACAGGGCCAGCTCTCTCAGCCTCTCCTTAGACCACATAAAACCACTGTCCTGCAGGGTTGTAAGCTGTTTTCAAGTGGAGCCACATATTGCCCTTTCTGTTGAAGTTCAGCTGTTGAGCAGAAGAGACTAAAAGCCTGTTAAGACTAAGGTGTAGACTGAGAAAAGAAACCCATTTATTTTCTTTGCTTCAAGGACAATTTTTCTCAAGGGATTTTTGCATGCATGAGGAAATGAAACCTTTATGGTCATGTACCTAACTTCTGTTTAAGTCCTTGTATGACAGGCTGTAGAATTGCAGACAGCATGAAAGGTACCACCTCCAGCCTTGACATGTTCTTGGCTTATTCACTGGCATCAGAGATGCTCTCACTGACTTTGTGGGTGTATTTTTGTAATTGACATGTGGTTTCGAGAAGCAGATATTGGAGGTAGGTCCTTACAAGAAAAACATTTCTGTGTCAGTTTGGACAGGCCAGTAGCTGATGTTCTTGAGCAAGCAACACAAAATGCCTGACACTGTTTTAGATCCCTCTGTGCAGTAAGCACACAACTCCTGTCCTAAAAGCAACAAAGTGTTGGAGTGTAATCTGTCTTTATTTTTATAGGCTGAAGGGCTGGAACAGACATATTCTCAGACAGTCCTTTTGGATTTGACTGGGAATAAACCACAAGCAGTATCAAAAACTTTGGATTTCACTTTTCCTTCTGATGTTGTAAGTGGCAGTGAGAGAGTGCAGGTCACTGCTGTTGGTAAGGATTATCTTGGTTTCTTTCCATCTTTATTTTTTACTGGTGAGCTATATATTTTTAAAAAAATTTTTTTGCTTGCTGGGTTTTGTTGAACCCAGTATCTAAGATACACGTGTTCATAATCCAGCTGCTGGCATCTTCTGCACTGCAGGCATAGGTGGTTTTTAAAGAACAGAGCAGTTGCCAGTAGAAGTAATAAACTCTGCCCAGTAGAGCAGGGAGGATGGTGTGTAATAACCTGTACAGGATTTGCCAGAGCTACTCTCAGAGCCCCTGCTGAAGGATGCTTACAAGATTGTGCCCAGTATGGCTGTTGCTTTACAGGTTTTTAGGGAATTGCATTAATTTTTATTCTTGCTTTAGTAGGTTGAATCATTAATTCTAAAAACTTTAGCATCATGCATTAGCCTAAGTATAGGAAGACTTTATGGATAGAACATGTTATTCCTTTAAGTTATTTAATTTACAATATTATAGTGCTGACTATCCATTTTCAGAGTTAGAGAGGGAATCAGATTTTAATAAGGAAGATCTTGCAAAGTTTGCTAGTATCGTTTTATTTCTGCTTGTCTGCAGAATAAAACCTAAAACCTGACTGTTGTTTCTTGTGACACCTAAGCTTTGATAACTGTGGGTGAGAGAGGAAATACAGGAAGTTTCAAATATGTACCATTACTGAAACATTTTCCTGCATTAAATATCTCTTGTATCTTTTGTTTGTTTGTTTTTCGATAGTGTCTGTTTGAAATTACTCTGTAGTTGTAAAGGTCTGTGGGGAGATGGGTCAGTGGGCACAAAGTTGATCAGATGATGAAGTACCTTTTCTGCCTGGTTAGTGGTGTTTGGTACAAATGTTCCTAAGGTGTCATATTTTCTCCCAGTTTAGATAATACCCACCTTTATCTTTGAGGTATGCATTTATTTGTAATAAGCCTTTATTTATTTTCATTAAATTTAATCTTTCAGGTGATTTACTTGGGCCTTCTATCAACGGTTTGTCGTCATTGATTAAGATGCCTTATGGCTGTGGTGAACAGAATATGATCAATTTTGCTCCAAATGTTTATGTTTTGCAATACCTGACTAAAACCAGGCAGCTGAGAGAAGATATTAAATCGAAAGCTGTATCATTTATGAGAAAAGGTCTGTATGATTAAAAAAAAGATTTTTAAGAAGTCTTACTAATACAAAGAGGTCTGTGACTCTGCATTTGGTATTTGAAATACTGCTCTGTTGGTGTCATAAGACCTGGAAGAAGAGCCTGTCTTCTCTTTCTTTTCCTCTTCTGGGCTGACAGAATTAGAGAGCAAATGATTTTATTTACAATGACAAGTTTGCTCAGAAAAAAAAAAGTTGTTTTTATATAGTTACTTTTTTTTTTTTCCCGATGAAAAATGCATTTCAGAAGGTAAGTCATATGGATTTCCTAAGTGGTTGTTATTTCTCCCTTGATAAAACCATGTGTGAGCAAACATTTCTGATGTCTGCATGAGGCACAGAGGATGAAGATTAGTCAGTGGGCAGAGTGAACCATATGCATCCCATATGGGTATGTGTCTTCAGTGACACCATCCCCATCCTGCCATGTCCTTGTAGAGCTCTAGGAGTGCCATTTGCTCTCGTGGCTGGCTTTCACCCGCCCAAGTTTTAGGCTTGATCAGAAGTGAACTCTGTGCTGGAAATCAAAATCTGGAAAATTTTAGTTGGAAATTGTTGTATATTTTAATCAAGAAATACTCCAGGGCATCACAAAATGTGGAGAACATAGTTGCACTACGCTTCTCTGTGCCTTTTGGATCAGACAGTGTCTAACTGCGATGTACCACGCTCACCACATGTCAGTCTGCGTGCTGAGAGCCTGGTTCACAGAGAGGAATGAGACCATCCTCATGTGAGCTATAACTGTGCTAAGGCACCATGATGACATTTTCAAATTTTGTATACTCTCTGTAAGTCTTTGATTACTTTTTTTTGGTGTTTGATTTTTTTTTTTTTCGGAATTGTTGACATTTCCTTTGGAAAAGACACAGCTCAAAATAAATTTTCCTTTCATCAAGATCCCAATTTTCTGTCAAAAGCAGTTAAATGTTTTTTTTAAACCCTTCTTACTACATGGCTTAGTTGAAAAGTAAGGTGGGAGGAAGATATGTGTTATGTAAAAAGCTACTCTGAAGTTTGAAGCAATCTGTCACTTTTTGAAGCTTGAATTTTGGTACCATAATTTTCTGAAGTTTTACGGTAACAGATTTATTAAAATTATTTCAAAGCAATTGAAAATTATAGGATTAAATGTCACTTTTATACAAAGCATTGTGATACTTGTTCCTGGGGCTTTGAGTTTAGATACATGTTTTTAACACTGTAGTAGCCAAAACAGTAAGCATGCTGAAATATTTGTAACCTTAAGATAGAAAAGAACCACAATCTAAAAAATTTTCTTGTTTTTTGCTTTATTTTAACAATTAATCAGTTAACAAAAAAATCAGTTGTTTTGCTGATTTTTAAAAAAAATGTAATCTTAAAGTTGAAATGTAGTTTGAGATGTAACTTTTATAAGCTTAGTTTTTGAAAGGATTATAATGAAGATTACAACAGACTTTATTTCACATGTCAAAATTCACTAAATATTTGAAAGATTGACCTCATAATCTGAGGTAAATGCAGTTAATTTAAGGCTAAATGCTTGTGAGAAGAAGGGATCATATAGCTAGCAGAGACTGCTATGTGATCTTTCTTTTAGCAGTTTTTATTTACCTAGAATGAAGGCAAAGCAAAAGAAAAGTTGCCTTTAAAGAATTCCTTCAGTTGTGGGAATGACAGATCCCATCTTGAAATCACTTCTTCAGAAATAAAAAAAAACCTGGTTGATTGGAAAACTTTGGTGCTAGACCCCAAGCAAGCAACAAGTTTGAGCAGTATTTCCAAGTTGTTTGAAATGTGAGACCCTTTTGTCTTTCACGTACTTCTGAAGTCCTTTCCATCCTGATGCACTCCTCTTTCAGCCTTGCTCAGTGAGCCTCCGACATCTCTTGGCTTCCAGCCAGTCCTCTAGGAGTACTAGTGTACATCTTCATAATAGGATCCTTCTTTCCTTGCCTTTCCATTTGTGTGTGTTGGCATTTGAAGTATCATTTTTCATGTCTGATTGAGTGTCCGTTGGAATGAATGTGGTGGATCACAGCCCCCAGGTCTCCTGTTCCAGCATTTCTGCAGGCTTCCCTGTGTTAGATACGCTTGTGTTTGGAGAATTTTGCGTGACTGCAACGGGGTTGGCATTGAGAAGAAAGCACGCAGACTGTAGGAAATAGCTGAGTGATCGGTCTGTCCTCCCTCTGGTTCTGTTCATCCTTCTGATCCCTCCCAATCTTAACAAATTCTAGGTTAAATTTATCCCTGTGTAAGGGCTGCTCAGCAGTCTTTGTTAAGCAGGCTGCTGGTCTTAGTTTAGCACTTTTAAACTACCGGTGGGGTGGTCATTATAATACCTGTTGCTGTATATTGCCTATTCTGCAAAGAAGCAGACCACCGCAGTTTTCAGGCCTTGAAGTGAGACACTTTTGAAGAGGAAGCAATCTATTTGTATGTATACATATATTTGTGTTTCTCATAGCACATCATTTTGAGGCTTAAATTTTGTCAGTGACTTTTGTTTTCCTTGGTGAGAAATGCCACTCGTTCCTTCTTGTTTCCTCCCTCTCAAGAGTGCTTGACTCCTCAAGATCATTAACTGATATGACAGATTTTTCTGTATGGGAAAGATTTACCAGTTTCAATAATGCAATTAACCACTGTCATGTTAAATACATTATAAAAACTGTATATTTAATTTAAAATTGTAATTTAAAATTCAAAAGAGAGAAAAACTAAACCTGATGCCACGGGGTTAAGTGGGAAGGTGCACAGGTATACTGTGGCCATTCAGAGTCACATCTTTATATCTGTATCTCTTGCATTACAGAGAGATCTTGACTAGTATTTCATCTTACATTGTAACTTAGCTTGAGGGACCAGGCCATTTGTTCCTCAGTAATTAAGGCTGTGGTTCACCCACTGTGTGTCTATATTCAGGATAGTATGTAAGCAGGTGGTTAATCCTTTATAAGTGAAAACAAGGAACATTTTGCAAGGGAATGGTTGTAATTGGATGGGCCTCATGGAATATATATTTAAATTCAATCATGTAGGATTTAGTGATCGTTGCCTGAGAGCTTTTCTTCTGCCTATATGATTCAGTATTGTGTCTGTATCTGTCTTTTGTTAGACTGTTGAATCTACTTTCTTAATTATAATAGCCAAAATAGTAAAGTCAAGGAAAAAGACAAGGTGGGAGGAAAGAAGAAAAGATGTCTTGTGGAATGCTATAAATGTGATTATTGTTCTGGATACACAAATGGCAAGCAAAATGTAAGGGGAGGAAGGTTTTAGATATCAGAACCTACGGTGAGTAGCATATCAAACATATCATAGAACGCTCTTCATTTCTAACATTAACGAGCATCGGTTCTGCACTAAAGTCAGCTGTTGAGTAAGGATGCTGCTGTTGGTTGTGAGCAGCTAGTGAGCCCTTGGGGCCCTTTTATTATAGATGTTCAGCAGTCAGGAGAAAGCTGCACTTTTTCTGGATACTGAAAAAATCTTCAGATGTATTTTAAATGGATCCTTCTAAGGATTTCAGGATCTTCGTGTCTTTTGAAAGTTTTCACTTGTTTCAGAACAGCTTCTTTCAGCACGTTTTTTCTGATAGATAGTCCTTTGTTTTGGCAAAAGCAAGCTGCTAAAAGGGTCTGTTTTTCAGCAGCATTTGTAGCTTTGCTCTACCCTTGCCCTTCGAGTTGGAAAGTACTTAGTTTTTGCTTGTCATTCCTTCTCCTGGAAGGAGCATTTCTGTAGGTGCACAGCTGCAGCTCTCCAAAGCAGTGAAGCACTGAACTAATAGCTGCTACTCTGCTCAGGGCTCATTGCTATGCACCCGGAGCCTCCGAGTTATGTGAGAGCATGTCTCTCTGCACCACGCTGTCGTGTTTGCATAGCAGATGAGCTGGAGCAGTTTCTGGTTCTGCTTTTGTAGATGGATTCTTTGTGCTACTGCTGCCCACTTTCTCATCATCTTCTGCGTGGTTTTGTGTCTTCCTGTATGTTTAGGAGATATTTTATGAAATATAAGCTCAAGTTCTGTCCTTTTCAGCCTTAGAAAGTGCCTCACTTCACATCAGCAGACAGTTTGTGCTGGAACCTGCATGAGAGGAAAGTGTTCATTACTTATCTCTGCTTTTCCACTTCAGGCTACCAGAGAGAGCTGCTTTTCCAGAGGGATGATGGCTCTTTTAGTGCCTTTGGAAATGAAGATCCCTCTGGGAGCACATGGTAAGTAGTTCTGCCAGATTCACTGTGGAATTTGAGTATTTTAAATATTTTCCCTGCAACTAAAAATTTTTGTGAAGCTGGTAAAAATTTCCAGCTATATTAGCCTTCTGCCTGGTTTTCATTAGGTGTTTAGGCCAACTCTAAGGTCATTCTGCTGGATAACATGCTGTCAAAACCATTATTAGGGCAAGGCTTTTTAATTTTGCAAAAGCTGAATGGTGAAGTATTTTAGCCAGGGGAATAGCTTGGTCTGAAAGTTTTTCTGTTGCTTTCCTCAAAGGAATGAAGAATAATAATTAAATGACATCCTTGCAGTTGACCGAAACCATCTAGGGCTATGTGAACATCATTGCTTCAAACAGATTTTTAGTTCTCTCCATACTGGAGGCTGAAGACTGACTGAGGCATTTCCTAGGAGGTGAACAGAGTTACTTGTGGTAAAAATTTGTCCTGTTAACCTCTCACACCTCTTTTTTTTTTTTTTTTTCTCCCCCAGACTGTAAATACAGCTGAAAATGCCTTTTCAGTGCTGAATTTCACTTTGAGAAGCATAGTGAGCCCAGTAGTGGAAGCTAGATAGAGACATGTTCCAAAACTTCATTCAGCTAATACATATTAAGTTAGTTTGAATATACTTATGTATATTTATTTCAGTACATGCTTCTGACTTTAAATAGAACCATCCCAGTTACTGTGTCACTGATTGAGTCACTCCTTCTGGAGTCAGTGAGTATCTTTCATTGACAACAACAGGGGACATTTATTCTGGACATTAGGAAAAAAAAATTAACAGAAAGAGTGCTTAGACAGTGGAATAGGCTGCCCAGAGAGGTGTTGGAGTCACCATCCGTGGATGTGTTTAAGGGTCGTTTAGATGAGATGTTGGGGGATATGATGTAGGGGAGAACTTTGTAGAGTAGGGCTGATGGCTGGACTCAATGATCCCAAGGGTCTTTTCCAACCTGAATGATTCTGTGATTTGCTTTAGACTCAGTATTCATGGATTGGAAAATGAAGATAATTTATCTGTACTGGCAACTCTGGCACTTAAATGGTGCAGTGACAGGTTACATGAATACACATTTAGCAAAGAAGGGAGTCAAAGCAGAACTTGGGATTATTAATAATAAACCAATAAAGGTTGTTTCAGTGACATCATTACAGGGATAATTGTGATAATTAACATCACACTCATAACTTCATTACTTTGTAAACTATGGTTTTTGCCACTTTAGTCTAGCAGCAGAAGGCAGGAGAGTAAAAGATATACATGTACTGGCAGACTTAAAGTCTATACTCTGTATTTATTTTTGAAACATAACAGCTGCAAAAGAGGTGATCTTCAGGAACAAGGACATAATAGCTTCATTTTTTGGTGGATTACGTTTAGTCTGCTTGCTGGTCTGGGTGAAGCATGTATTTTCCTCTGTGCTTGGGAGGTGTGTAGAACACCTTATGCATCACAGTATTCTTACATCATCTTAAACAGAAGAAGTTGTAATATGTTGCTAATTTTGTCATGTTTGATTAACCTTTTCCCTAAGGTTATCAGCTTTTGTATTAAGATGTTTCCTTCAAGCTCGTCCATTCATAGATATTGACCAAGATGTACTCATGGATACAGCTAAATGGATTGTCCGACATCAGAAATTAAATGGAGAATTTCATGAGCCTGGGAAAGTGTTACACAGTGATCTTCAAGGAGGCACCAATAATCCAGTCACTCTCACAGCTTACATCATGTCATCCCTTCTAGGGTTCCCAGATAAACAGGTATTGGAATTGCTAAATAGAATTAATATTCTGGAACACTTCATAAATTGTCATAGTACTGGCAAACACTTGGTAGTTTAAGGAAACGGAGGGACATCTGAACAGAGACAAAATTTAACCTCATTTTTTTAAACTTCTCTTATCTACCCGAGACAATACAAAGTTGTGCTATTTAGGCTCTTCAATTTTATGTGCCTTTGCAAAATCTAAAGGCAGTTGCTTTTAGCAAGAAAAGAATATTGTTATGGCTTTAGTCCAAGAGCTTGTAAAGCAATTTATGGGGAGAACTATCCTTAGAGATGTTAAGTCATTCCAATTGATTTTATTGAGATTACTCACATTAATAAAAGACAGTGCCAGATCAAAAGACTTGCCTTTGAGGTTTGTGCCTGTGACTCTGAAAGAGATTTTTCAGTATTTCTTGGTGGTTGTTTGGTGATAGTAATATTTGTGTACAAATTTTTCTTTTAAATTATAATATTTCATTATATATTTAATTCACTCTACATTCTTCAATATAATCTTCATTTCCAGCATGCTTATGTCATCAAGAGTGCTACAAACTTTTTAGAAGATAAATTAGAAGAAGGCATTTCGGATAATTACACTTTGGCACTTGTGACATATGCATTGTCCTGGGCAAAAAGTACAAAAGCAAAGGAAGCACTGAATATACTGAACCAGAGAGCAGAACACCAAGGTATTGCACAACTATCTGATACAGTTGTATAGATGGATTTTTGTCATACTTAAAAATACCTATCATATCTACAGCTGCATATAGAACTAGAGAAGAGAATTCTTCTTCTGAATTAAAATCTAGTTTGAGTATGATATAGAGAATAAGCTAAGAACTTCCAAGACAGCCTTAATGAGGAGTGTGCATAAATGAATGACAATTCACAACAAAGCTAGACCTTTCAGTCTCAGTTACTGTGCTCTTGATGCAAGTACCACAGTGCTGTTGAAGAACATTACTTGTCAGTTTTCCCATGTTGTTATGTGCACTTTTAAGATCAGCCTGGTTAATGAGAGATGGATGAGGTTAGCTATTCCAGAATGCTTTGAATAAAACAGGAGGATGTGTGTGGGGGGCAATTAGTTAAAATCAGTGACGGAATAAAGAGTTGAAGGACTGGACTTTCTGTAAGACAATACAGAGGTCTGTTGCATTTTCTGTAGGGACTCATCTCATTATGTTTAACCTCTTTCAAGTTCAGCATGACTGGAATTGTTCCCTGTTTTGGGGGAAGAACAGACCATATGGAGTATAAAAAACTGAAGTTTTTGGTTCAGAATAGTAAACTTCTTCTTGAAAAATGTGAAGGGATTCATGTTGTAGCCTAGAAATGGAGTCTCTTAGGTGTCCCTCTGTGTTTACTGAGTTAGGCCTTTTGGAGGGTCACTTTTGAGAAGGGAGGAAGTCACTGTTTTGGAAGTTTTTAGACTGAGAGAATGAGCCTAGTGAGCAGCCGTGCTGCCTGAGTTGCTTTCTCTAGTCCTGAAGAGAAAGGAGCACCCGAGCAATGATGTGGCCTTTTCACAAGGGCTCCTTTATGTGAGCACTTTGGGGTCACAACAAAAGGATCAATGTCAAGTTCTGAAATCAATGGGAGTGACTATTTGGACTCCAGCGTTTTTTTGTATCTAGATTCAGCCACTGCTGAGGAAGTGCTTAAGTCAGTTTTTTTACAGAACACGTGCGTAAACTTTAACACAATTTTAAAGAACCTTGCTAGATCCCATACGTAAGCATTAATTAAGAGGTTTCCCTTAAGTCCTTCCCAAAAGTCCAAAGAATTCAGTCTGTGGATCTGAGGTTATTATTGGTTCGTTTTTCAGGAGAATTTCGTTTCTGGATAACCCCTGCTTCTGAAATTTCTGATTCATGGCAGCCACGGTCCATCGATATTGAACTTGCAGCATATGCTCTGCTCTCACACTTTCATCAAGACAGATTCACAGAGGGGATCCCTATTATGAAATGGTTAAGTCAGCAAAGAAATCACCTTGGGGGATTTTCATCTACTCAGGTAACATCTTGTCTCAGGGGGCTTTGTTATACTTTCTAAATGAGCACCATATATTTAAAAAAAATAGAAAATTTTTTAAAAGACTATTTTTTTACATAATATTTACTGAATTTTGTTTTGCTGTAACAGCCTTGGTTACATGCAAGCTTGCTTTCTTTGAAATATTGTCATCTTAAACCTGGACTACCAGTTTTAGTATTTTGGCAAGTATAATGAGAAACAGAATTAGAGGGTCACCTAGATTATATAAAGTATTAATAACAAAAAATCTTAAATTAAGAAGTGATGCCCATGGAAAAATAATTAATCAGATTTTCCAAGCAAGTATGATAAATATCAAACCTCTTTCTAGTCTTTCCATATGTGGGTCTTCCAACTCCTGAAAGACTATTAACTAAGATAAGAAAGGGGAGTAGGTTTTAGGGAAACAGCCTAACCTAGTGTCTCTGTTGGCAGTTGGTCTTAACTTAATAATGTACTTTGTCCTCATTATTGCATAAATTTTTGATGAGCCATGAAATTTGGAAGAACTTCATTATCTCCAGGAGGTTTCCATGTTATTGAAACCACATCTTGTAAGCTGTGCTGGCATCCAGAAAATTTATATAGTACTTTGGATTGCATTAGTTTAAACTAGCTTTTAAATTAACTACAAATGCTGGTCACAGTAAAATGTCACATTTCATCATACTGCTTGTACCAAGGCTGTACAGGCTATCCATGATTTTCAAATGTTTGTTGGTATTAATCTGAGAGAAATTAGTTATACTGAATAAAATGCAATTTAAGAACCAGTCTATTTCCCCTGAGGTTTCAGTATTTTCCTAATGTGTTAATTCTTGCTTATTATTTGAAGAGGCTGACTGAAGCACTAAGTGAGTTGAAAAAGCTTTGCTCTATTTTCCAGAAACCGTTTTTACTTGAAAGTTTGTAAATCCAGAAGTGTACAATTTACTCCTGAGGGTGAAGTTAAGGAATGAATTTAATCTTTTTGTTCTTCCATAGTCTAAACTGTTTGAATTTCAGAATTACTCCAATGTCTCTCTAGTTGCCTTTTTTAATTTGTGGAAATGACCCCATACTTTTTGTTAACTTCTAAGGTTGCTTTAAAAAAAAAATGTTTGGACTGTTTCCTTCCATGAGTTTATTACATTAGAAACTTAATATATTGTTAAACAATTGGGAGGAAAGTAATCAGTTGCATGTGTGATGTTTGTAAGTTAGGGTATGATAACTCACTGCAGTTTAGATACATGGTATAACTTACTATAAATTTGCAATCAGTATATTTTGCTTTATAATGCTTTTAATGTTTGGGCATAAAATGTATATATTTCATAGAGAAAGGAATGCAATTCATACATAAAAAATAGCATATATATGAATGTATACTTAAATGGTAGGAAAGAGTAGCAAATTTTGCAAAGCCTGTGTTGCTGGGCAAGAGAGGCCTATGAGTCTGGCTTGAGACCATATTCCCTAACTTTTCAGCTTGTGTGTTGGATGCAGCATTGTCGTACTGAGCCCTGCACCTTGTGCTTCAGCTGTGAACATTTTCTGGTGAAAAGCCTTGGGTATGCCTTCTGCTTTAAAGCATGCCAAGGGGAATGTTTATCTTCCTTGTAGATGATTCTTTGCCCTCTTGTTTTTTACCTGTGTTTCTGAGGGTCATTTGAGCCTAAGATGTGGAAGAGCTCTGAAGTCACCTTCAGCAATGGCAGATAGCATTTCTAGACGTGCTGAAATGTAAATATAAGAAATCTAATTGTAAGGACTTGGAAAAGACACTTCAAGATATTCCTTGGTTTCCACACCTTGAGTAAGGGTGGACGTATTTCTGCTTTCAGATGATTAAAGTCTGCTGAGGCTGCCCCTCGATTCCTGTGTTCAGTTTTAGGCCCCTCACTCCAAAAAGGACATTGAATGACTCGAGCGTGTCCAGAGAAGGGCAACGGAGCTGGTGCAGGGTCTGGAGCACAGGTTGTACGAGGAGCAGCTGAGGGAACTGGGGGTGTTTAGTCTGGAGAAGAGAGGCTGAGGGGAGACCTCATCGCCCTCTACAGCTCCCTGAAAGGAGGTTGCAGAGAGCTGGGGATGAGTCTCTTTAACCGAGTAACAAGTGATAGGACAAGAGGGAATGGCCTCAAGTTGTTCCAGGGAAGGTTTAGACTGGATATCAGGAAGTGTTTCTTTCCGGAATGGGTTATTAGACATTGGAATGGGCTGCCCAGGGCAGTGGTGGAGTCCCCATCCCTGGAGGTGTTTAAGAGTCGGGTCAATATAACGCTTAGGGATATGGTGTAGTTTGGAACTGTTAATGTTAGGTTAAGGGTTGGACTGGATGATATTCACCATCTTTTCCAACCTAGATGATTCTGTGAAAGTTATATTCTCCAATAAAATGTTATAGTTCCTTAGGTCTGTAAGATAGATCAGGTATATAGATGTGATAGCTCACTGTAGTTTCATTCAGTTCATTGTGAAAGAAGTTTTGGGTTTCCAAGCCATGAATCTTCATCAAAAACTGACATATGAGTAGTCTGAGTGAGCACAGCCTCATTTAGATGCTTTGTCACTGTCTTCTGCAGAGGAGTAATGGAGGATGTTCTTTCAGGGTAAATATTGGCCTCCTACTGAAAAACTCTGCCCCTTACTCCACACTGTTAAATCGTCATGTAGTCCATTAGTTGCATCTATTCTGTCACGCCATGTTAAGCATTGGAGTTTGGATCCCAGCCGTAGTGGTTCAGCATACCAGCAACTTTGGCATTGTTGCTAATCAGCTGATCTTTCTGGATCAGTGAAGCAGATCATCTCAGACAAGGATGTAGCATGGGAAGGAGAGTGGTTTCTAACCAGATAGAGTGAATAGGCAGTCCGTACTTGTACCTTAAGGTATGTCACAGTTTCCATGTTGTAGTTAATGAGGTTCTGTTATGTTAGAATTTTGTTACTGGAAATGACCTATGAATGTATATAACACCTCTGTATACTGAGCCTGCAAGGCCAACTCCTTCACTGTCACTGGTTAAAAATAAGTGCAAAACATACTACACGAAGAGCAAAAATCTCTGAAAAGCATTAGAGACATATGATTGTTTACTGTTTTTTTCCTCAGAAAATAGTGGATGTTAAAATTCTCATTCACTAAACTCTGCTGGAACAAATGTTCAAAAACTGCCTCTTGTGTTCAAAACCTGGAGAGCTAAGCCTACAGTCATACACAAAGATAAACAAAAGACAAATATATATATAAACAAAATCTGTATATATTAAAAATATATCATATATATATGATAATGTGTGTATAAGCATATTCTGCAGTGGTTAAACAATTGCACAAAACCTTTTGATTAAATAGAGAGTATAAAAACTGAGCTGAACCCCTTTGAAGTTCTTGCTGGGGGTCTGATAAACACTAATTACATTTTTTTTTTTTTACATGAATGTTAATAGTTATTCAGATCTGTATCTTTTGCCTTGGTGAACAAGGTACCCCGAAAAACTCCTGTGCAGTACTGGCTGTTTAACACATAGTCACTAAATCTGGAAAGTAGCAGTATCATTACTTCCCTCATTGGCTTTTTCTTCACTGTCGATGTGCTGTGTGGTTCTGACTGTTGTGTCTACCAGTGTGTCAGGTCTTCCACAAGAGGAAAACTTCTTTAGCTGGCTCCCACCTCATTCTCCATTGCATGTCACAGTACCTAACTTCTTGTCCTGTGCTGCCATTGCTCTTCTGTGCTGGGATCCTTCATGCCAGTGGAATCCCAGTGGAGATATGGAAGTGGCTGCCTGAAGGCTCCAGCATAATCAACAAATGGGACAATGCAGGGACTGTGAGCTCCACAAGGCACGGCCTGTACACAGGTAGTTCAGTAGGCAGGCTTCTTCTGTTTAATACAGGATTTGTTTCTCTCAACAGGACACAGTGGTGGCTCTGCAAGCCTTGAGTCTATTTGCAGCTCTCACTACTACAAGCAAAACAGAAATGGATGTAACAGTGACAGTACCTTCTCTGAAAACGCCAGAAACATTTTCAATTGATACTCAAAACCGTTTTCTGCTTCAGACCAAGGAGGTACTGTAGAAAGCAAGGAATACTTCATAAAGTCTGCTGACTGAAAGTACATTGAAAATACTGTTTTACTCATCTTTCTTCCAGATTGCCCCTGCACAACCAATGACCATTACAGTGGCAGCAGAGGGAACAGGATTTGCTGTCTTTCAGGTACACAACGCACTTGTTATTGCTAAAGATATGCTTTCTATAAAGAAGGTATATTTTGGAAGCTTTCTAAAACATGTTAATAAGAACAACCTTCTGAAATATCTTAAATGAGTACCAAAGCACTTTACTAATTGAAGAATGCTGTGAACCAAATACTGTATGAATGGACGTATTCATGTGGTCATTTATGTCCTATGGCCCGGCCTTTTAAGTACTGCTGGATGATTAACAGTTTTGGGGCACTTCCATGGTCCAGAGCCATATCAACACAGCCCTGTCCTCCTGCAGAAATGCAGCGTCCACTTGCAAGACAAAAAACTGCAGTGATACATTGGCAGGCACAAAGGTCAGATTAAAAAAGCCATGTGGACCTGGCTGAACTGCCTCATTGGGAAGGCACAGATCAGTACAGAACAAGATTTAGAATGGCCAGGTTCTCCAGCAATTTATACACTGTTCTGAAAGAGCATGAAAGACAAGAGTCAAATGATCCTGCATACTGCCAACAGTAATAGATGCTTAGCTTCAGCCAAAAGTAGGAGCATGGCAAAGAATGGAAGGAGGTATAGTGATCCCCTCTCTGCCTGTCCTGTGGAAGACTGTGTTTCAGTAGTATAAATTTGAACATCTTTACTATATTCAAACAGATTAATCTGGGATCAGCTCATACTATTTAGAACTAGCAAACTGTAAATAGCCATTTCAGCTGCTTGCTCTTCCTCCATAACAGAGATTATATTACAAAGAAATTCCACCTTCAAGATTTTCCCTAGTCCTATGAGAAATACCATATGAGAAAAAGACAGTATTGGATCTGATTTGATATGACCACTAATGGGTCTTTCTTCCCTGCTGTCCTGTCCATGATAGTGGCTTAGAACCACACAGGTGAAAGAGAATACCTTTGAAAAGATACAGATAATACAGAAATATTAGTCTCTGAGTATGGCAGACTCATTTTACCGGGAGTATATAGATAAACTTGTAATTGCTGAGTGTATCACAAAACCAGACAGTTTTCTATTAGAGTCCTTCTAGTTGTACTTGGGAAAACTGAACATAGGCTGCCTTTAATTGTCTTGAAATTTTATGCCGGATCAGATTTGATCTCAAGATCTTTTCAACCTGACCTTCACTTCAGTGTTCTTATGCATCTGGGAAACAGAAGAGCATGGTGATGGTTGGTAAATACACTTTTGGATAAAAGACCTTTACAAAGAAACCTTCACAGTTGCCTCTCAGCAGTGAACAGCAGCTAGAGATACACCTCATTCATTCAGCACGATTCTGCAAAACCCACAGTGCCATAAATCGTGTCCAGTGCTTATTAATTCCCAGAAGTGCAAATGAAGTTTACAGCAAAGTTCAAAAGTTTCAGAGCATAGCTTAGATTCAGACCTGCAGGCCAAGATAGAAATGAACATCTCAGCAGGACTGTGTTCACACATCTGTGGTTTCAGCGTGTGTGTGTGTATGTGGAATGTAACAAAGTGGGGCTCCAGAACAGTTAAGACTACTTAACCTTAATCATTGTTGAGAAATACTCCCTGATATTAGTCAACTGATTTCTTAAGCGAGCTGATCAAAAACTTTTCAGCAAATTGTTTCTTGCTGGAAGACGCTGATTTGATGAAATGAATGCCTTTTGTGGAAGCACATTGGTTCCAGTTAATTTCTTGCCAGCAGAAAAATTTCACATCCAAATCAGTGTGTCTGTGAAGACTGAGCAGAAGTCTTCTACCCAGAATAACCAGTAGTTGACTCCATGGTTAGAGGGCTCCTTGGGGGTGTATAGCACCATGCTTCAAGTTCCTGGTTTGTTGTATAAGATGCAAACGTGCTCCCAAATAACTGGTGTTCAAGAACCAACGCCAGATTATCTTCTTCATTTAGGTCACTGCGCTGTTGCTTTTTTTTCCTGCAGCCTTGAGTCAGAGATGCTGTGGCTTGTGTCAAAATACTGTACTTAACACACTGGAGTAACTTCTCCAAAACCTTTTCTTTGCTGGGATCAGTTCTTTTCTTCTGCTTCCTTTGGCAGGTCTGATCTTCTAAAAGAAAGAGCACTAATGCCATTTGAATGAGATTTCTTTTTCCCAGACACAAGCTAGATCTGGGTCGCATTTAATAAATCAGATAGCGTATGACATCGTGATCACATTTTTTCAGCTGGGTTTCATTGTCTTAGGCCCGCCAAAGTACAGTGGTGAGATTCACTGTTCTGGGATTTGACTTTCTGGCCAAATGTAGCATGTCAAAACAGTAATTCATTTAAATATCACAAAACACAAGATTTGGTCCACTAATGGAAAAGGCTGCTTTCCCAACAGAATGGATTCTTAAATAAAAAAAACTTTTTTTTTTTTTTTTGTGAAACCTTGCTGTCTGTATGTACGAGTTGGCAGTGCATTCACTCTTGACCCTGCAGGATCTCATAAAATGTATTTAGTTTGGATAGTATAATTCAAAAGCAGACATTTACTTTTAGCTTTGTGGTTCTGCTGTCAATAAAGTCTCCTAGTTCATTCCTTCATTATGTGGGCACATACCTAAGACACTGACTGCAAGAGGAAAGAGTATATGAAAGGCACTGTCTAGAGAAAGGAGTTGAAGAAGCGATCTTCCCTAAGTGGCCTGCTGAAAGTGCTGGCAGAAACACCTCGCTGCTGTCTGGAACCACTATGAACCGGGCTTAGCAAATGCCTCAGAAATTTGGCGTCACCCATGCCTTCTGGAAGGAAGGAGAATGCCACTGAAATCCAAGACTAGCAACAAGGGGGGAGGGTGGGGCAGGCTCAAGGAGAATGGGTATGGGCAAAGTGGATAGATGAACAAGATCTCCTTTATGTCCTGGTCATGTATAGAGAGGGAGTGAGAAAAAAGCTGATAATCACCTATTGTTACTGAAAAGCACTGATCATTTTTTCTACTCAGTGTATTTTTACTAGACTTAGGCAGGAGACTGTTATTCCACGTGATGGTACTGAAAAAGGTACACCATGAAATGCACGCATACTTTTCTGTTACAGTTTGAATAGATAGTAGTCAAAAAAGGACAGAAAAATATTGGAGATGATTTCATTGAATTCATGCCCTCAATCAAGCACACTTGTGCTGCTAGTTGCAAAGCAAAAAGGGTAGGGAAGGAGGCACTGGTTAGGGCATTATAAAGTCATGTTTTTTGAAATGTAGTGCAGTTGATTGGGTCAGATACTGTTACAAGCATCTCTCTCATGCAGATTAGTTTTCTCTTCTTGGGCTTCTCACCAGAACTGCTGCAGTATGACAAGACTGGACCAGTTCTGCCTTTAGCTTTGGCTGCTGCTTCTTAAAAGGGTTAAGAAGAAATGCAGTTGCTTGTTTTGTTGATTTAATACTAGTTTCTCTATAATAGCCTTCTGTCCCCAAAGTAAGAGTGTATGAAGAAGGACTCTTTAATTAAACTGTGTTGTGAGAAAGATTTTTCCTTCATTTTCATGAGAAATCAGGAAAGGAAAGTCAGACCATAACAGCAATAACTTATTCCATGAAAATACTAGCTGATTGACCTGTTCGGTATGTGGTTTCAGACATCCTGCTTTGGCAGTAAATTCCCATTCATTAGCTTTTTCTGGCAAAAGTTAAAACAGCTTTGTTTCTGTGATGACAGATCATTGAGTCACCTCCAGCTTGTCTTTACCAAACTTTCTGCATGCCTTTAACTGGCATGCTTTCTAGATTGGCTTTATCCTTGGTACTGTCTTCTCCTGCAGAGCAGTTGTACAGAATAAATCTTCACTGTTGCACCATGGTTGTCCTGAGTGCCTCTACAGAATTGGTTTTGGACTCACACAGCATACTAAATTCAGCAGTGTAGTGCAGGGCAACAGGAATCATGTGTGTAGATTGAAAGAAAGAGCGTAACTTTCATATCAAGCAGTGAGAGACATAGCAGCAGAAGCAAAAATCAGAGATTAAAGACTCCTATGTTTGCACAGACTTGCTAGACTATAACTGACTTCCTTACCTATAACCTGGACAACCCCCGTCATAACTTTCAGTTTGGACTGACAGTTTTCCATTTGCTGCCAGAAACTGTTGTGAAGGGTCTGTGATTTTTCCAGAAGCACTCTTCATTCCCTTTTCCAAAGTGCATGTTTGGCTCATGCAAAGGGAGTTATTTGAGCCACTTTCTGATGATTTTTTTAAACCAAAATCAAAGATGATTCCCCCCTGCCCTGCCATGTGTTTTATCTCAATGACTAAGGGAGCAGATAATGATTATTAGTTTGTATGTGAAAACTGTATGTAAACTTCCTGTTCTGTTGTTGGTGAAAATGTCTGTTTTGCCAAATGATGTAAAGTATTCTTTAATAATAATAATAATAATATTTTCTTAGATTCTTATATTTGATTCTGTCATTCTGGGGCTTTGAAAGTTGAGCTTCTGATTCATCACACTGAAGTGCTGAGTAAGCAACACATTCTTTTGTCCTCTATCAGAGGTGATGTCCCATTTGTGCCAGGATTTTGCAGTGACCATCAACATTGCATTGGGTGTTAATCAGTCTGAAGCATCTTAGAATTTTTCTCAAGTTAAATTTAATTTTTGGTGTCTTTTATTTGGTATAAGTACACGAGTATGCTGGAGCAGATGTGCTGGGGCAACTGATATCATTCATGATCCTGTATCCCATAATGATCAGTGGAGAGAGGATGACCAATGAAGGCTACTAGAATAGGGCAAGCACAGAGTTGTGTGTTGCTTGTATAGCCTCTTGCCCTTCGCCAGTTTGCAGCACAGGTCATTCCTTATCCACAGGTCATCTCTGTGTGCTCTCTCTGACTTGGTAGATAGTGTCTTGATAATTTTTTTTTTCTTCCGTAAATATGTAACTTCTAAAATATTTCTAATCTTTTAACAACTACATTTTCTTGCAGCAGTTAGTTCTGCAGCTAATGGTGCATTGCATGAAGAATCACTACCCCTTTCTTTTCTTGAATCTGCTCCCCTAGCTCTTCTATTTGGAGAGAAGGCATAAGAGGGACTGTGTTGGGTCAGAGCAAACCTCAGTCTAGCCCAGTGTTCTGTCTTCCACAACAGCCAGACGTTGATGCTCAGGAGAGACTGTAAGAAGATAAATACAAGTAAACCTGACTGTCTTCCACGTCCTGTCATGTTTTATTCAAGATCTTCAGCTGGAGATAGTTTCTGTGGGCTTAGAAAATTTTGATTCCATTAAGTTGTCTATTTTGCCATTGAACGCTTATACAGTTTAGTATCTGCAGCATCTTGTGGGAAGAAATTCCACAATTTAATCTTTAATTGCATGAAAATTTGTTTCCTATTCATCTTTCCCATGCAAATCATTATTCTGTGGACCTTTACAGCGTCCTTCTTCCAATTTACTTGTTTATGGCTGAATTTTCATCTATTTTACCATTTATTAAATCATAAACTGGTAGTAATCAGTTCAAACCCCATTGTTAACGTTCATAAAAATTCTTTCGTTTTGAAAATCTTTGCTACCTAGTCTTTGCTACCTCACATAAATTAGTATCATCAGCAAACTTTATCACATCAGGATTCACTCTGTTTTCTACACTGTGGATGGGTATGTTTAATGGTGGACACCCAGCACAGATTACTTTAGGACTCCACTCCTTCCATGTTGAACATTCATTCCCACCCTGTCTTCCTGTCTCAGCCCTTTATCGCTTGGCACATTCTTTTGTTCTGGTACCTTTGGCTAGTAATATTCCTAACCAGCTACATGCCAATTTAACAATCAAGTAGCTTATATTAGACAGAGCAACGCTGTCCATGTTTTTTTACCAGGTAGCTGGTGAGTTTATAGCAACAGGCTATTCTCCAATGTGTTATATTTACTCATTTGTCCATTAATTTGACTATTTATTATAGTTTTTATCATGTTTTCTGGTACAGATACAGAGTTTACTTGATAATCACAGTTTTCTAGATGCCAGTACTCTTTAAAAAGTTGCTATCACACTTGTCATCCTCCAGTCTGATACTAAGGCAGTTTTCAAGAAACACTGCAGATAATAATGATTCAGTTGTTTCTTTACCTCCTCAAGTTCAATTCTGTAGGCAGGACAGCCTGGTGTTTTTACTGCATAATTTTCTCTCATGGCTGATAACATGAGAATACTCATTGGTTGCTCAATTCCAGCTCCAGCATTTCTCCTTTGGCTGTTGGTATTGGTAATTTTATAGGACATTGAGATAATCAGGCTACCTCCTAATTATTCAGACCTTTTTTTAAGGGCTTCTGGTTTTACCACTCTTCTATCACTGTTTCAAGCATCTTATACACGTCTACACTAGAGGAATTGGAAACTCTTCAAGCTGTGCCTAACAGATGAGCTTATTTTCTGTTAATATTACTGTCCTGCACTGGACATCCTGTCATACTTCCTTACTTGGCTCACTTAGCAGAGCTTGGCAGTTGTTGTGAAGAAGGAACAAGAGCTCTGTCCTTGAGGCAGACTGAAGACTGTAGCTTTGTCTTTGCACAGATGAACCAGATGATGAAACTACTTAGCTGCAAGAAAAATCTGTTGTTCTGAGTTTGGAGTAACATGCTATTCCTCATCTGTTTTGAGTGTATGAATGCTGTGACATGAAGACTGAAGACAAATTCTGTATATACATTATGTATTTGCTCTTGCTCTGCTTTCATATATAGCCTGTCTCTTTTAACCCAGTGGGTGTCAGTCTTTGAAGTTTTCTTTATTCATCCCATTTAATGCTGTCAGGAAGTAACTGCATACATTATAAACCACCAGACAACAGCTAGGGAGAAAGCTGCAGGTTGTCCCCTGTGTTTACCTCAGTTGTGTCCTGTTAATTGCATTGGTTCTGCTGCATTGCAAAGTGTTCAGAAAGGTTATTTCTGTCAGAGAATTCTTGTGAATCGCAAGTGTCCGGCTGTCCCATACAAGGCCATGTATCCTGTCTTATGTAGTACTCCTCTGGTGTTACACTGTTAGAAACTTGGTGTTTTAACCACACAGATTTGCTTTACATACGTCACCTAATGTCTCTACTTGCAATCCACAGCTTAATGTTATTTACAACACAAAACACAGTGATCAGATGCTCAGATCTGTCCGGAAACAAGAAGCCTTTGACTTGAATGTTGATGTAAAAGATGACAAAGACGATAAAAACCATTTGACCCTGAATGTATGCACAAGGTAGGTAATTCAGTTGGAGCATCTCATACACCTCTTTGCCTATACAGCTTTTAAATTATTTAAAATTATCTAAATTATTCATGTGTTTGTGTGGATTTATTAATGTAGGGGTTATAAATGTGTAACTAATGAGAATAAAATAATTACTTTATAAAACCAGCAGTAGTTAAACTAAGAAGCAATTAATAAATCAATAGAGTGATAGGTCTTTTGTGCAAAATTGTTGCTGGCCAGGTGCTATTTTTTTTACTAGTATGCATAAAGATGGTGGCACCCTAAATGTTAGAGGTATATGGAAGTATCTGTGTGAAATACAAGTAAAAACTCAAAGGCTTCTTTGATGAAAGTCCTTCTTAGCTAAATGGAGGACTGTGGACAGACTTGAAAATTGAACCACCGTCTTCCACGTTCTATCTTCTAGTAGCAGACTGTGACAGCTGCCCATTACTCTTACCTTTCATGAACAGAATGCTTTGCTTTTAATCTAGAAGTGGATACTTCTTTTTTTGTAAAGAGGGAAGGAAGTTCTGAAGTGCTGAAAACAACATGAAATAGAAGTAATCATTCTTTTCTCATCTCTATTAATAAACTTTGCTCAGAACAATTTTGGCAGGAGTCAAAATCCATGTTTACATAATGATAAATTCAGCTGGGGTTTTGTCTTATTTGCAAGTATCTTTGTGGTCTTTCATTTACCAATATGTCTTATAGTTACGAATTTGGTAATGTAATATAATCTAAGCATCATTCTAGAGTTGAAAGAGGTGATGAATTTTTCCAGCCAGGCTGATTCTATTCTTTCTGTTGAATAAGGGAGGAGGGGATGCATCTGAGATGGTGTTTCTTGTTTGGTAAATACATACTGTAAACTGAGCTGAGACTGCTGAACTATCATGTCAGAGGCCACAGAACAGCCACCAGATGTTACCTGGATAGAATTTGGATCTGTCGAGAACAGGGAACATTAAACAGTTGTACTGCATATTCTTAGGTCAGCCAGTCATTAAACCAGGTTGTTTCTTTGACTGCTTTGCTGCCTCATTTCTGCTGCTGTGGAAGTGTTTATACATGTATTTAAAAGAAATATGTGAAGATGTTTGTTCTCTGGCAGTTTCTTTTGTATGCACTTACTGTAGGTAAAGAACACTGCATGTTTTACAGAAAACCCTATAGGATGTTGTATCTGGTTTTTATCTTATATCTTTTATTATCTACAAGGATGTTGAGATGACAACATTGTTTGTATTTTAGGATTTCATTTGTTTGTGAATACTTCCTCTAGAAACACTGTTTTCTTCTTGTGACATTATAATGGGTTCCTTGTAAATGCAAGATTTGCAAAATACCACCTGATCCACTGTGATTACTCCTGCATTCCTTTCCTCCACATCTTCATTTTGTTATTTATTTAAACATTGTATGCCTAGAACTGTTTTTATGCTCTGCCTACCACAAGGGAGCTGTGACAGGAGATGGAGCCTCTAGGTGACACCATCATACAAGTAATCAGATACAGTGAATAAGATTTCAGTACAGAGAGGATTCATTTAATTTGGGAAATAGCCAGCAGGCACAAAGCCACAACCTTGTTTTTATGTGTTTCTGGTAACCAATTCAGTGATACAGATGGTGGGCAGGGACATGAGAGCTCTTGAAATAGAATGGACTTGTTCTTTTTTAAAGTTTTCTATGAAGTGTCAACAGCTTTCTAAACTCTAGCACAAACTCCTGACATGTAAAGAGCTTACATGATGGGTCTGGGATAACTTGTCTAAGCATTCTGATTTTCTAGCTAAGACCTTTGGCTCAGGAATACAGACAGGAAGGGCTCCATCTCTCTGGGAAGGCTCTAGGGTGATGATGTTTTAATTGTGAAGTGTTCAAAGGATAGGAGAAAGTCTAGTGGCATAAAACTGACCCAGCAGAGTATTTTGAACATTAAGATCCATCAACACTTCTCACAGAAAGTGGATTGGTATAAGTTCTAGGAAGTCTCTGTTCTTCAGGCAGAGACCATTTCTGGTTGCTTGGCTTGATAGACTAGTCATCCTCTTTTTTTTTTTTTTTCCTCTATATATTGTGTATAATATATGCATCATCTATATTAAATTCCTGAATAAGTTTAAAGACCGTCTGTTTATAATCTTTACAACACAATGTGGCTTCATGGTAGAGAAAGCAAAGTAAACAAATACAGAAAGACTGCTGAAATCTTAATGAGTTTAGCTAGCTGTGAGTATGTATAGTTGGGTAATGGAGGCTGAAGCTTTGGAATTTTTTTCTTTCACTAATCTGCAGAATATTCTACCTTCTTTCAACCAAGCATGATAGTGATTGGCCATGGTCATCTCAACTGGAGCAGATAATGTCTCATTCAAATTAAATGGATTCTTGGTCAGAGGAGCTAACTCACAGGACTGCCAGTTTCTTCTCTAGTCAGTCTTGTTGCCTGTGTGCCATTTTCAGGCATGGGAAACTGATTGCTGATGTTTCTACTCACTCTTGTTTATGCTTTCTGCCTACACTAGCTTGGTGTTTTCTCCTCTTTGTGTCATCTATGAGAGGGTCCCATGTAGATCTCATATTGCTGGACTGCTGAAACATAAAAATCAACTCAAAACATTCTCAGTTTTTTCAAGTTCAAGTTTAAAGTCTTTCTTTCTCTTACTGGTTATTCTCCTTGCATGGTGATTCCTTTTTTTTTTTTTTTTTAAGAGATCATGATGTGAAGAGATGATACCAGGAGCCACCCACAGTGCTGTCCTTTTCTTTGCTGAGAGCCAGATCCTCATAACTTCTAGGGATATATCATATTCACTTGACAATACCAAGCTGGTTTGGTTACCCATTGGTATTTTGGTAGCACCCCAGGCTGGCTAGACAGCTTGGTTATTTTCCTCCCCTCTTATTGGTAATTATGCAGAAATAATTACATCCAGTTCCAATTCAGTTATTTGTTTTCAATAGCAGCTACTTTGGCACAGCACATCATCCAACAGATGGTTTCATTTGTTTCTAATCTTATGAGCCAACTGAAGTCAGCAGTTGTGCTGTATTTCTTTCAAAGTCATATCTGCATTCAATCAACCATGCTGCCAGGCTTAACAGCATTGCTTTGAAAGCAAGTCTTCCCTTTTTTTAAACCATCCAGATCTACAAAGAAATAGTTTTATTCAATTACTTTCAACTACTGTCAGGCCTTCAAAATGAGGATTGGAGACACTTCTATTCTAGTGTAATAATAATCATTTACCCTCAATGCCAAGTGGAGGGAAACTCTTCTGCCACCTGCTTTATTTAGAGCAATACAAGCTTTTGCAGGTCATTTAGGAATCACTTGTAGCACAAAACACTATAAATGTATTTTGATAGTTCTGTTGTGTGCCATAGTATGTAAGGCTTGCTCAATAGAAGAAAGCTTTTTAGTCCAGCATCTGATTCTCACATTGGAAGAAAATGTAATAATAAGCATTATTTAGGAAAAAAGAAGGAACTCAACTTACTACTTTTTCCAAAACTGGATGAATAATGTGGTGATGCATTTTAGAAATGGAATTTTGAGAAATAATCTGATGACTTTGTTAATGGAACCATCAGTCTCTATGAAGGAAATATGAAAAGGTTTGAGAGACTTTTTTTGGTGTATGCCTTTATCTCACCCTCCAAAAATGAACAGAAGCAAACCAATGCATCTGTAAGAGAAACTATTGTATATTTCTGTTCAAGAGTTCCTACAGCGGTTTCTTAATTACTTCTTTTGAAACTGTTTAACTGAAATATTTCCTGTGTGTTTGTGATGTAAACCTGCACTTATAGATGACAATGGAAAGCTCCTAGTGGTGTCAGTGAAGTCTCTGTATGATTTATGTGCTGTAGTTTTCTCAGTGCTAAACAAGCTTTTGCATATGCAGTTGTAATTATCAGGCAGAGTAATAGATAAATCAATCAATTATCTCTTTATCATTAGGAATTTTCTTGTCAGCATTTTGTTCTATTTGTTTCTTAAGTATTCTTAAGCATTATTGCTTCTGTAGTTGGGATTTAATAACCAAACAGTTTCTTGGAGAGTGGACTACTGTATTTATACTAAAAGTTTCTTTGTTTCTGTGTTTTGAAAAGGTACTTGGGTTCTGGCACAGCTCCCAGTAGTGGTATGGTCCTCATGGAGGTTGGCTTACTCAGTGGTTTCTCTGTGTCACCGGATTTCATTCCTTTAGACAATATAGTTAAGAAGATGGAAAGGGACAATGGAAAAGTCAACTTATACTTAGACTCTGTAAGTTGAAAATAACAAAGAAATGTGTTTGTAGTGATGTTAATCTTGAGTCTGCCATTGTTTGGTTTAAATTTGGAAAGACGTTATGATTGTGTTTTTTGGGGAAATCAACATCTGCTGTTCACGATGAATTAATAGTTCCACTGTTTTTTACTGGGACTGATAGATAGGTACAACTCAGTTATATTTGTAAGGGGTTTTTAGACTAGGCCTCTTAAAAAAAACAAACAAACAAAAAAACCCTATCTATCTATCTACCTATATATATATATATATATCTATATATATATATCTCAGAAGGCAGACATTTCAAGAAGTCTGTAGTTTGGCCAAAATGACTACAAATGAGATAAGCATATTTATATGCATCCTGACTCCAAGTCTTCAGAAATGAAGTGGACTACCGCTGAGCTAGAAGTCCTTACCTCTTTCATGAAAACACCATCACCAGGGTTCTCAGGATGTTTCTCTTCTATTTTTCTAGCTAAATGAAACACAGGTTTGTGTGGATATTCCGGCTGTGAGAGACTTCAAAGTGGCAAATATTCAAGATGCTTCAGTGACTGTAGTGGATTACTATGAACCTAGTAAGTGTCAGTCATTCCAAATGGATCTCGGTGATTCCGAAGTTTTAAAGAAAGTTTATTTTCATGTAGCACAAATTTTAGTGAAAACAACATCAAACTGAAATTTAATTTTTTCATTGAATTGCAGACTTTTTAGACATTGACATGCCAAATTTTCAAGCAAATAGTAGTGTTTTCCCATATATATATTTCAAGCAAATAGTAGTGTTTTCCCATATATATATTTTACTGTTCTAATGGGCTGGTTCCTCAGCTGGTATGAGTCATTATAACTTAATTGTCAGCTGGTATAAATTGGCTTCAGTCTGGTCCAATGTGTTCTCAAAAACTATCAAAATGAAGCAGGAACTTCACTGTGGTTCGCTTACCAAGTTAATGATTATCTTTCAAGTAGCTTTTCCATCTGTTTCTTGTTTAAACTCCTTCACTGGAGAAAATGCCAGTGGTTTGATTTCTATAGTTCTGTAAAAAAGGGAAAAACAGTTTCAAAGTTTTTTGATTTTTTTTTTTTTTTTTTTTTTTTTTATGTGTAGAGTGTGTTTTAGAGAAAGGCAGTAATGTACAAAGCTTTTGGGCAAAATGAAAAATGAAGAAAGATTACAAGCTGCTGGAGAAGATAGGTTTTCATTACAGCAGCTAGCTGAAACATTATTAAGGATTTGGGTTTAGTTGAGATAAGGCATAAAAAAGTTGGATAGGCAATTTTCTTCATGTTGGTTGGTTTTAGCACAAGACAAGAGACAACCAAATATGCTATGATGCGTACTACTATAGATAGATGAAGATCACATTTACTCTATGTGGGCTGAAGTATTTGTTCAATCACAGAATTTTAAACAAAAGTAGGAAATTAGCAAATATAACTACAATGTCCATTAACCTAAAGCATGTTTTAAGGCCTAGTGGCTTAACAAATTAGAGCAATTTTTATTTGAGACGGACACATAACCCTTAGAATCTATGGCCAAAATTAATTTCCACATGCTTCAATTCCTAGAAGAGCTCAGGATCTAGTCTTTTATAAGTATGCTGTTGGATAGGCAAATGAATACATATATTAAAATGTCACGTATAAATGCACATGTGTAAATATTTTAATTATATTTAAATACATTTAGTATCAATACATTCTCAATAAATCAATATTCATTTCAAGATATGAATTAATATCCTTAAGGACTATGTACAAGGTCTGCACCAGAGTTTAGTGCATCCCTTAAAAATGCTTTCTTTGTGAAGCTAATTTGTTGGTTATTTATCAGAAATTCATTAACTAATGTTAACTAACCTTTGAACAGGGAGAAGAGCAGTGAGAAGCTACAATTCAGAAGTAATGCAAAGTATAACCCCTTGTGACTTCTGTGAAAGTGATTGCAGTCTTTGCCACCGAGATGGTTCTCCAGCCTTGCTTCAGCACTCTTCATTGGCCTCCTTGTTCTGCGTGCTGTTTGTCCTTCATGTAAACTTGCTGTGCAGTTGGGTGCTGTAAAAGGAAACAGATTATGTTTCACATCTAAGGTTTCTATAAATTGTCCAAAGAAATTTTCAGATACCAGCCCATCTGTAGTGATTACAGTGACCGAACTCCTACTGCGTTCAGGGAGAGCTGGGCTGGCCCATACGTTAAATTTCTGGCTGTGCCAGAAAACTTCTTTAAGCATCTGCTGGAAAAACTTTCCAAGTGTTAGTTTCATACTGAAATTATTTTCAGAAGAAGCACAGAGTTACCGAGAAAGCAGTCTGAGAAAATATAAACCTAGCTTCCGTGTTCCCACTCCCTTTTTTCCCCCAGCTTTGTGCTTGTTTTTTAGGAATGTATGTTAGTTTACCATCTTTTCTGAAACACTCTCTGCTCCTCTGTTGGGGTGCTGGTAAGCAGAGCACTGGGAGCTTAGTATCAGAGCTTGCTTTGTTCTGTTCTGCAGGCATGACACAACATTAATATTGAATTTCACTGTGTGCTCTCATGGGGAATAATATGAAAAAGAGCAGATCCAAGAGCCAAAAAGTGCTGCATTCACAAACTGCTGAATGCTCCAGAAAGTTGTCAGTCTTTTTTTTATCATTACAGAGAAGCTCCATGGACTTTTTTGCCAATTCATAAGCTAATCATGCTTAAAAATAAGGCCTCGGGATGTTCTTATGCATTTTACTCTGAAAGACTTTTACTGTAAATGTATCAAAGATGGAGTCTGGTTTAGACTTCATTTTTCCAGGGTTATTCAGAAGCAAACCTAGTTCTCTTTTCATGTGAGAATGCTGGTGTCACTGGCATATTTATGGCCAGCAGGATGAAAGCTGCTTTGATTCTTCTCTGGTTTTTGGAAGTCTGCTAGAAAGAATTTGGGGCATCATTTACATCTTGTGTTTGCAGTGTTGTCCTGTCAATGGTTTAAGTGGCATAACCCTGAAGAGCTGTTTACTGCTCTCTGTGCCATGTTAGCTGGTTGGCCCTGAATGCCATCTGTGCATGCAACTCCTGTTGGTTGGCGGGAGAGACTTTTAGGAGGTGTGAGCTGCACGTGCATTCAGTCCAGCATAACAGTTGACACATTTGCTTACCTTTAAGCACATCCTTGTGTGCTTATAAGTGCTTTGCTGAAGTGGAGTTGAGGAGAGAGATGGTGGCGAGCAACAAGCACTTTTATACCCAAATTACAGGTCTCTGTGAATGCGGAAATGCGTGAGCTTGGGAGCTCTTCCCTCCTGAGTGAGTGTATTGAACGTCTTCCCTATTTGGTAGCCCATTTATCCTTCTTGAACACTGCCTGTGATATCCAATACTTAATTCTTTTTGGTAAGGAAGCCAAGCTGATAACATTCCTAGTTACTAAAATGAAGTTAATAGCTGTCATGCTGACTAACAGAGGTAGACATTTTAAGACTATTGATTCCCTTTCTTTACCTTTTTCAGACGGAGTGTGTATGTGTGCACATGTAATAATATGTCAGTCACTTTCCTTGAGCAATTTCTAATTTTTATTCAAATTTTGCTACTGCTTGAAATGTATATTTTTGTATTCTGTGCTCATCTGTACTTTTGTTCACAAAGGAAATTAGTGGATGGTAGCATGGGAAGAGGCCTGAACTTCCCAAACTGAGTGCCTTCTAATACCAAGGTATAGGTTTTTAACCGCAAGTCTAGTTTAGGTGGTAACTAGTAAAACTAGTTATTTGTTTTACTTTTGCTATATTTAGAAGGTACAATGTTTTTCACAAACTTAGGGTTCTGTTCTGTCTTTGGCAGATCTTAGGCCTGGTTCTTTTTAGTCACTTCACGCTTTTCACTTGTCTTTGGTGCACTTTGGATCTAGCCCCTTGAATAGTAGTTTAGTGCCTAGTCTGCTTTGACCCACATGAAGTAATACTGTATTTATTGAAACCCAAAGCACTACTTAGTCAATAGGATGCAGGACCTGAACCTCTGTAAGCCATGCCCGTGGTTACATGGGTCCAAAACTAATAGAAACCAAGGTACAAATTGAAACACATCATTGCATCTCAAATCCTTTACCCATGTATGGGAACATAGATTAAATTGTGCCAAGTGTAAGATCTGGAAAACATTCACACTCTTAAACTGGAATCTGTTTTGCTGTGGGTTTGCTTTTTTGATGACCTATGAAAACAGGTCGTCTTTTGCTTTTGAGGACAGCAACCTTGACATGTCATTTGACTCGATTTAATATCATTTCAAGAACCCAAAGCTCACATACTTTCAGTTTTTACTCTATGTACAGCTTCTAAGAGGGACATTGATCCCTGATTAATGTTAGGATAAAGAGGTGTATTTTCTAGAATGTACTGGAGAGAAACTACACCTTTGCAGTAGATAGTAGGAATAAATTAGTTTTATTTTGCAGGCAGTCCCAGCTTCCCAAATATTCTCCAGAAAAATGGATTTAAACTGCCCAGCCTAATTTCAGACAGTTCAGCTTTTATTAGTATTCCCTTACATTTGTTTTTGAGACAAACAGCACATGTTTTTAAATGACTCTTGGCTGCCTTGCACACCATACTAAGAAGCATCAGTCATAATGCACCATGTTATGGAAATTGTCAGAGTCAGTGAACAAATATCCTCTTTTATTTTACTTTTCTCTATACAGCAGGCATATCATTAAAGACATCCAAATCTGCCTCTGTACTAAATTATTTTAAAGGAGCAGTGTACATTTTATGACCTTAAACAAATGTTTATACTACGTGGCCTTTAACATTCCTACACCAATGCCTTCAGCCACTTTGGAGTTGTGGCTAGTGCTTTGAATGAGTTGCAGAGGATAAGTTTTGTATTGTGTGTTGGCAGTGAATCGAACAGAGGAAAGGGAAATTATGTGGCATAGTACTTGTTTTGTTTTCCTCATGGTTATATAGGAACCTTTACAGAAATGCTCAGCATAACTATGTTTTTCCATTGTTCTATAAAGTCGGGTTTTGATGTTAGAGGGGAGATGCTCCCACTGAAGTTATTAGTCATGGTTTGAACTTGGCTGGTGGCCAGTCACCACTCAGCCAGTCACTTACTTTTTCCCCCCTCCTCAGCGAAACAGGGGAGGGACAAGAAGGGGAGAATTTATAGGATGAATGAAAAAAAACAGTTTAGTGATAGTAACAAAACAGCAGTAACAATAGGAAGTCCATATGGCTAATACACAATGCAGTTGTTCACTACCTGGCAACTGGTACACAGCCCGCCCCCAGCAGCGATCCCAGCAACATGAAAAATCCCACCACACCGACTGGAAGACATAAAGCAAGAGCACCCGCCTCCTTTATATACTGAGCATAACATCACATGATACGGAATACTCCAATGACCAGTCCGGTCCTGGCCTTCCAGCTGTGCTCCCTCTCAGCCCAAGGAAAGTTAACTCTATCCTGGCCAAAACCCGGACAGCCTCCACCCCTTATTCCATACCATTTACATTATGCTTAAGTTCCAAATACATTTTAAGGAATCACCACCTCTTTCCTGGGTTTCACAGATGTCATTCTCTTAGTCTATTTGCCATCCTTCCAAAATGTCTACTGAATTAATTTAGTCTGTAACTTTGGGTTCTGTCTGTCATGACAGTCTTTTAAGGCTGGAGGAATGAGGTAGAGTTGGCTGTTGGTAAAGCAGGAGGCTTTGGATGTGGCAGGAGGATGTTGCGGGGTACCAATTACAATAACAGGCTTATTTGACAGTTCAGTTCATTTGCTATTTCACCTAAAATCCAATCCCCTTGAGGCACACATTGGAATTCTCTGTTCTTCTGTGTTACCCACCAAGTGCACCTAGGTCCTTCGGCAAAAGTAATCCCATGCATGGGTGTACCTTTACCCCCAGCATATTTCTAATGCGCACTATGGGGGATTTATCCCCATGCACAGTATGTAGGAGGTTTGATTGAGCAGGGCCAGCTTGCTTGGCAGATCCTGTGGTATTGACTAACCAGGTGGCTTTTGCTAAATGGACGTCCCAGTGTTTGAAAGTTCCCCCACCCATTGCTCTCAGTGTAGTTTTTAGCAACCTACTGTATCGCTCAATTTTCCCAGAGGCTGGTGCATGGTAGGGAATGTGATATATCCACTCAATGCCATGTTCTTTGGCCCAAGTGTCTATGAGGTTGTTTTGAAATGTGTCCCATTATCTGACTCAATTATTTCTGGTGTGCCATGCTGCCATAAGTCTTTCTCCTTAAGGCCTAAAAGGGTGTTCCAGGCAGTGGCATGGGACATAACATAAGTTTCCAACCATCCAGTGGCTGCTTCCACCATTGTAAGCACACAGTGTTTGCCATGCTGAGTTTGTAGGAGCATGATATAATCAATCTGCCAGGCCTGCCCATATTTATATTTTAACCATCATCCTCCATACCAAACAGGCTTTAACCATTTGGCTTGCTTGATTGTAGCAGATGTCTCACATTCATGGATTACCTGTGCAATAGCATCCATGCTTAAGTCCACCCCTTCATCACGAGCCCATCTATATGTTGCATCTCTTCCCTGATGACCTTGAGGAGTCATGGGCCCAGTGAGCCATAAATTGTTCACCCTTATGTTGCCAGTCCAGATCTACTGGAGCCACCTTAATCTTGGCAGGCTGACCTGCCTGTTGGTTGTTCTGATGTTCTTCAGTGGCCCAACACTTGGGTGCATGAGCATCTACATGATGTTTTACAATTAAGTTCTCTACCCAAGCAGAGTATCTTGCCATAATTCAGCAGCTCAGATGGGTTTGCCTCTGTGCTGCCAGTTGTGCTGTTTCCATTGCTGTAGCCACCCCACATTGCATTTGCCACCATCCATGAGTCAGTATAGAGGTAGAGCACTGGCCTTTTTTCTCAATCGGCGATACTCAAAGCCAGCTGGACGGCTTTCACCTCTGCTAACTGACTCGATTCACCTTCATCAGTTTCAGCGACCTGTTGTGTGGGGCTCCACACAGCTGCCTTCCACCTTTGATGTTTTCCCACAATGTGACAGGACCTGTCAGTAAACAGGGCATATTGCTTCTCATTATCCAGTAGTTTATTATCTGGTGGAGCCTCTTCAGCACAAGTTATCTCTTCCTCTGGCACCATTCCAAAATCTTTGCCTTCTGGCCAATTTGTGATCACTTCCAGTATTCCTGGATGGCTGGGACTCCCTATTCGACCCCGTTGTGTGATTAATGTGACCCATTTACTCCATGTGGCATTGGTTGCATGGTGTGTAGAGGGGACGCTCCCTTTGAACATCCAGCCCAGCACTGGCAGTTGAGGTGCCAGGAAGAGCTGTGCTTCAGAAGCGGCTTGGATGCCTTCATATGCTGCCAATAACTCTTCTTTGGTTGGAGTATGGTGGTCCTTGGATCATCCTCTGTATCCCTAACTTCCAGAACCCCAGGGGTTGACCCCAAGTCTCCCCTGGTGTTCTCTGCCAGAGACTCCAGGTAGGGCTGTTCTCCCCGACTGCAGCGTAGAGCACATTTTTAACATCTTGTCCTGTCTGAACTGCCTGAGGGCTACTGCATGAACTATTTGCTGTTTAATTTGTTCAAAAGCCTGTTGCTGCTCCAGCCCCATATAAAATAATTCTTTTTCTGGGTCACTTGATAGAGAGGGCGGACAATCTGACTGTAATTTGGAATGTGCAGTCTCCAGAAACCCACAACACCTAAGAAACCCTGAGTTTTCTGTTTTGTTAGTCGGTAGGGACATAGCTGTTACTTTATTAATCACCTCCAATGGAATCTGACAATGTTCATCTTGCTGTTTTATTCCTAACACTGAATCTCTTGTGCAGGTCCCTTGACCTTACTGTGCTTTATGGCAAAACTGGCTCTCAAAAGGATTTACATTTTTTTTCTCCCCATTCTCAAAAACTACTTCTGCTATATTACTCCATATATTGATGTTATCAACATACTGTAAGTGTTCCAGGGCTTCATGCGGCTCCAATGTAGTCTGGATCAGTTCAGGGGAAATGGTGGGGCTGTGTTTCCACCCCTGGGGTAGTCAATTCCAGGTGTATTGGACACCCCTTCAGGTAAAAGCAAACTGTGTCCTGCAGTTTCTGTTGTGGACTTTGGAGTGGTTGCAATGTCAGTTGTTTTATTACCAGATCCAGAGCCCTTCTCTTCATTTTGAGGATGTTGAACAGTGTTTAATAGTACTTGGTAGGCGTGGGGCAAGGCACCAGCATGTTGCAGTGAGCTGTGCCTCTCTGGAATTACCCAAGTGACAACATACTTTTTCTAAATATTTTACTAATTATTCAGGATTCTGCACCTGTTTGGGAGTGAAGTTCCGATACACTGGAGGTGCCCACTCTTATAGGTACTTGCCCATGCTACTCCACACCCCCAGCCACTCATAATTCTCCAACCTTGGAGTAGATCTCCAGGTGATACTCTTAAATAATTGCTTAACGCTGAGCAAAGCCTGAACCACATGCAGGAACACACTAGCTCCCAGCAGGAAGATGACCATGTTAATGTCAACATTTCAAGGATATTCTTGAAATTCTCAAACACAGCTGTAAATAGCCCCAGGACCAATGACTGCATCAGGTCACAGATCAGCATTACATAGTACAGCAAAACCAAAATCTTAACCCAACTCTCATGGGTGGTGAACAGCAGCATGGGGACTAAGTACAGCAAATGAGGTGATAAAAAAGACCAAAGCACTAGACAATATTACCTGATCTGTCATTATCTTAACCCTTGGGCCCCACATTCGGTGCCAAAATGACTGTTGTGGTTTGAACTTGGCTGGTAGCCAATCACCATGCAGCTGGTTGCTTGTTTTTTTCCACCCATCCCTGGTGAAATAGGAGAGGGACAAAAAAAAAAAAAAAAGGAGAATTTGTAGGTTGAATAAAAAAAAAACCCACCAAACAGTTTAGTGATAGTAACAAAGCAACAGTAACAGTAGGAGGTCCAAACAGGTAATACACAATGTGGTTTCCCACCACCTGACAACCAGTACACAGCCTGCCCCCAGCAGCGATCCCAACAGCACGAAATATCCCACCGCACCGAGCAGAAGCTGCAAAGCAAAAGCACCTGCCTCCTTTATATACTGAGCATAACATCACATGATATGGAATACTTCAGTGACCAGTCCAAGCCTGGTCCCCCAGCTGTGCTCCCTCTCAGCCTGAGGAAGGTTAACTATATCCTGGCTGAAACCAGGACAAAATCTTTTAGCAAAAAATCTTTAGGAACAAGGTCTTCAAGGAGCTTTAAGGAGTGGTGTTAAAAGCAGTCAGAAAAAGGTATTTTGTGATGGAATCTTCATGTCGCATTGCATGAACATTTCTGTGTGGTTGCAGTTTCTTTGACATCTGTGTATTCTCTGGTAATTCTTGTGCCCTTTTTAGCTGCCAATGGACATGGTCTGTGCAGGGCCATTAGTATGCTGTTAAATCAGCAAGAAATAGTAATTTGGTCATGATTGAGTTTAGGACAAAACCATAATGCATTTGAAGGGATTCTCCCCGCCCCCGATTCTACCTTTGCTGTCATCCATGATCTTAGCAGAGGTTTTCTCTACAGATTTCTCTCTGGGTGTCATCTAGAAACCTGCTATACCAAATGCTGTTGTACAGAACAGGGAACGAGTGCTGCCTATTGGGTTTACAGCACCTCAGAGTGTGTATGCTGGGCCAGCTCGATGTTCCCAACATGGCACAGCTGTTCTCCCATTTACTTCACAAGCAGGAGCCTGTGGCTTCTGCACATCAACGGCACATGATAAAAGGGGGAAGTGACCAGACTGGTGGAGGAGAAACATAAGAGCCAAAGTCCAAGGTTACACACCTGTCTTTTGTCTTGAAAGTCACTGTTGAAAATAGAACCTAAGATTCAAAAATAATTTTAATTCAGTTTTCAAAATATTATCCTAGCAATATTTCTCCAAATGTGTTGTTGAATTTAGTATGAAAGTTGATAAGATCTGGTTTAAGCGGATTCTTGTAGAAAGCATATGTAGAAAACATAGCCAGTATATAGGCTCTAGTGTACTACAGTGTGCAGTGTGTGTGTGCAATTAAAAACATTCAAGATCTTCACAAAGTGCCTGAACAAAC